CAGGTTCTTTCAAATGCCAACCCTATGAACTACATTATAAATTGAATTGATGGCATTGTAGACTGAGATGACGCCAGAGAGACATGTACCAGGGCTGCTGAATTTTGATCGCCTTCCGAATGGATTTAGTCAGATAGGTCAATTATTATTCATTTTTAAGAGTCTGTATTTCTTTATCCGATGTTACATCCATGCCTGTGGTACATATTACTGGTACTTAATATCAGCAGACAGGACATAACACTGAATACCTTCGTTTCTGGACAATACCTTATACAAACGAACTATGCCTTCTGGAAAAAAAGTAAATGCCGACATATCAACGAATGCGAATTCAACCACCAGTTTAATGAAAATAGAGCAAACAGTGGACAAAAGATTTACACAGAAAGTCATTAACAAGTACAAGAAAAAGACCACATGTTCTCTAAGGGTAGGCGTCTTCAACTTCATCTACGAAACTCACGTAGTTACGTTCCCAAACGAGGACAAGGTGAACGACAATAAAACTACCAGACACACTGACGAGTATCAAGCATGTCTTGGTTCTTATCGTGCAAGGAACTAGAATTCTTCCCAATAAGATCAAAACTGAGGATATCCTTTTTTAACATTTCGGAAAACCAAATACATATGTACAAACTAATAACCTTTAATAGAATTTTTGAGAATGTCTTTTGATGATAATTACACCACCGCCGTTTTGTGTTGGATTCCCGAACTTAACAAGAACCATTATCAATCCTAATGATTTCGTAATCAACACTGATTATCTTAATACTGACTTAACTGACATTCTCGTTCAGTTGTACCACATATAATTACTAAACGGCATGTATCTCGTAACCAGGGTTATCTCCCTTATATATTTCCACGTCGGTAGCTTACGACATGACGACCCCCTTTCTTGATTCAACTTTATATATTAGCAATTTTATCATCGTTATCAATTATTAAAGCAAATTGTGCTGACTCTGACCTAATTTCATGACCTCCTACTCATTCTCACAAAGCTTGTGCCTAGGCGAAAATTGCATTTAAGCTTTGATAGAAATATTTTTCTGAGTTTCATACAGGTATGAATGACAAAAAAACTATATTCAAACTTAATGAACACGCGTTTTCAAGCTGTTGGTAAAGCTGCAAATGCCTACTTCTAAGGTGTTTTGGTTTCAATATGTTTGTAGAGGACGATGTCGAAGATGGTGCACATATGTATACAGCATGCATAGATGTAGACCTCTGGTAAACTTGTTACCGGATCTTGTTACATTACAAACATTCAGAATTGATACTAAATATACAGAGGCCAAATTGTTAAGAAAGACTAGATATAGTTGGAAAATCAGTTAATAATAATAATATCTTTTATTTATCCAGGGTTGCATATTTAGACAAGTCTAGTTTACAATATGGCCCTGTCGTAAAATATATACACATATCACAGAAAGATGTTACATTGGATGTTACCGGTACATAAAATATATAAATTATGAATATTAATTAATTATAAGATACAATGTAGAACAAACATTATAAATGTTGAATTGAGTTTGGTCATACGACAGAAATTCTATACGAGGCTGTACTTCTCGATGATACTGTCAGAAAAGGCTCGACTGTAAAGAACAACACATTTATTTGTTATGGTGATCGGATATGTATCTTATAAGATTATTCCGAATCGCCTGCTTTCCTGTGTCTTAAAATGGACAGTAAGTAGATTGTTACATTCATGCTTCACGATCAAATATTAGATTGACCAAGCTCTACATAGTGGGTGTGGTCTTGTTACTTCTTCTTTACCTTTTCAGAGAACAGTCATAAAGTTATTGGCTTTTTCATATTTTGCACTCGTTTTTTCCACAATTAGTCAGAGTTATGTTTTTTCCTTACCCATACATATCATCTTGTTGTCTCTCTCTCTCTCTCTCTCTCTCTCTCTCTCTCTCTCTCTCTCTCTCTCTCTCTCTCTCTCTCACACACACACACACACACACACACACACACACACACACACAAATACCGATATTATCTTACCTCGATTTCCTCTGCTTTAGATGTTAGAATGTTCTACGATCCTCAGTAAAGTTGAACGCCGTTAATATCACTAATGAGAGAAGGAATCTCCTTCTGTGCAGTAACGAAAGTCAGATTTGTAGTCGAGATTACAATAGAATAAGAGAAAAAGACCTGGTCAAACTTCGAAAGGTCTTATCAAATACCAAAAAGTAATATTCTTTTTATATGCGTGTATGTGAAAATCACGTGTACATAATTCAATACTCTCATACTAACAGAAAAGTTCACCATAATAGCCCCCTTCCCAAAATTGCTAAAACGAAAACAAACTATGAAAAAAGGGAAATAGTGACCCGAAATCGCATGATGGCATCAGTGTCTCTGAAATCCCGAAACTGATAAAAGATTGACTTGGCAACTTGTCAGTGGCATGTATCGGACCAGAACGCTCCGCAGCTGTGAAGGGAACTTTTATTGTCTTATTGTATCCGATTAAACAACTCTTGAAATGAGTTTGAGAAAAATCTATTGTGATGAGTGAGTACCTAGAACTGAGACATGCCTCATGAAGTTTCTTTGTTAGAAACGTTGAGAAAACATCCCTTCTGACTGGGTTTGTGATTAGTGCGTAGTCTTTCCTGTCTCGTTATGACAATTTTAGAAATGTTAAATTTATCACCAGTAGTGCATCGAATGTGGTTTTCTAGTAACCCTTGGTGTGTGTCCTCTGATACTAGTATTCTGTATTACAGCATTTGATGGGGAAGTCATGTTACATATAACTTTATCAATACACGATCGGTGTACAGTACAATTGTATAACAACATGTATTAGGAACAATTCTTCCATCCAGCTGAAGGCCTTGTCTAGACATAATAAAACTATAAGCTATTAGAAAACTTGTACATTAAGATTAAAGTAGTGGTGTTTAGATTGTCTTAACAAAGGTCATCTTTCTACTATGAAAAGCCATAAGGAATGCAGACTTGTGCAAGGTTTTGAACTGATCAATGAACTGGTGCCCCATGTAGAGTATAGCAATTCTACTCACGGTAGCAAATCCATACTCAAATTCCACCATTTCTACCTCTTTTTCGTGCATACTTTGATGTGAGGCGTATGCTCCCGTCACTTTCAGTAGTTCTGAAGGTTTTTGACAATCTGTCTCATAATTATAATCTCCTTTCTCTACAACTTCAAAGTCATGGACAATCAATTTTAGCTTCGGAAGTACTTTCAGAACAAATTAAAAATTATCTCAAACCAGAAAACATTTACGTAACTAGGAAGTTATACTGGTACCTTTCTGGGGCTTCACCATGGACATAGAATATATATACTTGCGGCATGTTGTATTCAAATGTGGGTATGTACTGAATCAGAGACGTATATATATGTGTTATATATGTCTCTGACTGAATTAAATTAATTGGGTTTTCTATCCAGAAGATCTATAATTGGTCTAAGACTTGATTTCAACTTTAAATAATGTAAAACCTTGAAATTTCTATAGTTTGACTACTCTTCAGAGTTTGTGACGCTGTTTATCTATCGGGTATTATGTTAACTAGTAAAGCCTCTCGGCCTTTCATCGGACGACCTCAGTTGTAGGGATATTATTTCATCATGATTCAGTCTTTACTTCGATGGTACAAACATATGTATACAAAGGTACTGATGACATCAGAATGAAACGAAATAGCAAACAAACTAGCTAAGGAAACTTTAGACTATGACGGATAATAAAATTATTACAAGATTAAAATTTGGCAAAACAAAATTGAAATCAAATATCAATATTATGTTAAAACAATTACCAAACAACGAGTTCTGTGATAACGTGGAAATAATTAATAATGTCTTCTTTTCTATTCCAAACATCTTGCAGCTAGGGCAGAACTCTAATTTCCACCGACAGTATTATAGCTACACTGGATAAACAGGCGTCATTGTCCACAGCACAATCATTAGATATTTGAAAACAATAGGTTACTACAACAGAATATAACACGATTTAGCAACACCACATTCACGGCAAAGGCGTCAGGATCTGGATATTTGAGCTCATACTTAGATCGCTGTAGGGGACTCAGTAGATCTCCTCTCCTGGACATCAGAACCTGCGCAATACTCCGTCATAGGTAGGATTCCTCAGGATACACAGGAAAGCTGTACCAGAGGGGATTACTACTGATCCTCCCATTCATTGGTGCAAACTGACACTTTAGGAGGTCTGATGTGTCATCCACTGTGCCCGCCTCCCCCACCCCCATGCAAACATCTATCTAGGGCGCTGTAAGGGACACAGAAGCCTCTTTTTCTGATTATCAAAACCCAAACCATTACGTTCACAACCATGTCACTCTCTCCCATCGCTACCTATATTCTTTCGTCCGCTGAAAGGCCAGTAGGCCGTAATAGTGGACTTCATCCGTAAAACAAATAAGAATGAAATATGCAAGTGTAACTTCGTTTCAATGCATCACATCATTTGATTTCAAACTGAGTTTCCCCATTCAATTTGATTGCGATGACGGATTTGAATATTGTGGGTCCGTGTTGTGAGTATCCTCACTAAATAAATATCCACGCATTGGTGAATTTAGCTGTAGGTAGATATAAGCAGGTACGTCCCTGATATAAGTGGTCCAAATTTTGATATATATATTGATATATACGTCCCTGATAAAACTAATGGTGCATTGTTTATCATATATACACCAACGTAAAATTGAAATTTTGATATCATGAACAAGTCATCTTTAGTATGATGGACAAGCCAATATAATGTTTATGTAATTAATCTGTGACTTTTCCAACCTCCTGAAATACCGTAACTTTTTTTCAACGTGATCAACGACGCGCAGAAAAAGCGCGAATCAATCAATGTTTTCCTTCCTCCAGAGGGCGCATGAAGGTCACTTCCGGAAATACTCGCGACCCACTTACTGTTGAGGTCAACCAGTTTACATGTCGGATGTCCATAAGTGTTTTCGCTTTGAGGTGAGTAAAGCCACATGTTTAATCTTTATTTCGACCGATGACACTCTTTTCATGAATAAGATTGTCTTCTGTGATGTATGGGGAAGTCATTGTCTCTCTTCCAAACAATTTATCATCGTTGTTATTTTAAGTAAAGACCGGCTTCGCTCATGGAGACAGCATTACGTTCACACGTGTACTACATTGAAGACGGTTGTGCGAAGTGTAGCTGTGTCTGTATTGATGCTGGTGATATCCACATCTATTTACCAGATAAAGAGAAGCGTTATATATGAGTCAGATCATATGCCTTTAAAGGTTGTCTCGTATCGTGATATTTCACGTTTACAATAGGATACAACTGATGTCAATGTCAAAACGATGTGAACATTGGCACAGGTTGAAGGGATATTTCTCTCATAAGTTACATTGATATGGTGATTGACTGCAATGCATCAGTGATCATGAACGACTAGGATGATGTTAACATTCGAGCCGGTGTTAGGTATTGAACTTCCCTTTAGAACTATCTTTCCCACGTAAGCAGATAATATTATAAAGACTGTCCAAAGAGAAATTCCCAGTAGTCGAGATGTGGTAACCTGAATTCTCCCAACTTGTTTTTCTCAACCTCTGCATGTACATTATATAACCAACACATTTTTTAATCATTCCATCTAAAGTAGAAACACAATGGAAAATAGAAATGTACAAATTATAAGGCAAATGCCTAATTGCTTATCACATCATATGCATTTGGTCCCCAGTTATGGTGATAGGCAATTACAAAATATTAGAAAAAGTAAGACTGTGTACTGCTTCTGGTTCCTATACCAGATATTCTAACGCAGACATTTTTATGTCTGGTGTGGCCATCAGTCTGCTTTAGTATAAATTCAAAAAGTGTATTAAAGGAGTACTCTTTTTCAGCTTGCAAATATGCAACTCTAAGTTTCTTTTAATTTCTCTTATTAAACAATTTTATAACCGGACATTATTCCATCAAAATGTCAAAACAACTGTTCTTGGAGACAGAGGAAACTTGGAAGCACACTAGCCAGATCTTGAATTTCCAGTTTTGATCCTAATTGTGCCATTTAAAGTAGAGATATTTTCATGCATTCTTTTTTTTGGTGACCATCTAAAGGTCCAGGAAATATCGCTAAAACAATCTTAACATATTTGTCCAGCTTGCATTTGGCATCAGACAAACACATTACCTCTGATCCAAAGTCAAGAGGAGGGCTCATTATAGGAGGATGGAATTGAAAAATGTAACCATTGGTCATTCTGTTGAACAACAACATATATAAATGAGTGCCTTGATTACCAGCTATGGACCTAGCATTTCATACTAGTACTTGAAACATGAATGACAATTATCAGTATGTCGTAAAAAGAATTCAGAGTTATGGAGAAACCTTTGATCACCTAAGGTATCAACCTGTTTTATACATTGTATCAGAACTTGGGTCCTCAAAAGTTGAAATGTGAATACCTGTTTTACCCTTCAAATTATTCTACACTCAGACTAGTGAGTAGAGCTATATACTCTTTTCAGGACATCAATCAGGAAGATGTGTTTGAAACATAGCAATTGTCTTGTGTCAAATTGTATGTTTGTGGAGGACAAATCGTGAAGTTACAGTTTAAGAGGATAAAGCTCTTTCTGCCAGGTATTGATGTCATTATAATGATAAGGAATATACTTTTTTGTTGATCTATAGAAAGTATGAAGAGGCTTTACACGCTTGAAGGAACTGCTGACATTCTTTTATACTACCAAGTTGTTGTGCATGTTGATGTCACACAGTCAGGCCTAGTCTGGAAGTAAAATGACATTGATCACCCTTAAATTTTGTATGCTACCTATGATATCCAGCAATAGTACAGGTTTTGTTGATATGTCATCAGTACAGACTGATTTAAATCTACTACATACCAGACAAATTATTTATAAGTATGAGTGGCTGTGTGTTAGTACATTAACATGTGGTTTGTGATTTGTACTGTTGGATATGATCAGTTTATATGATATTGTACAATGTGAACAGCATTCCTTCTACAGAATTCTACTTATTGTTAGATGGCTAGTCTTGTATTTAAGGAGGCCAGTTAATGAATATGATATGTAATATTAAGAGTTGATTGACGGTATTGGTTGTATCGATTATTACATACATTTATTAGAGCTATTTTATCAGAATTCTACATAAATTTAAGATTTTTAGCCTACCATCATCAGGTGATGGACTAGTTAAGGCCATCCCAGATCCTTAAGATATTCTCTGCAGGGCTCTCGATCTGCCAGATTTGGGGCTGTATATCGGCCCCATTCCCAATGCAAAATAGTATCTTTTTTTCCCAATTTAGACCCTAAGTTTACCCAATTCTAAGGAAAACAATGTTATTTTTCCCAATTCTAAGGGCCCCGGGCCCCAGTCCCAAAATGGGGTGTGAGAGCCCTGCTCTGTTTAGCATTGAAAGACCTATCCTTTGAGAATTTCGATTGGTAGGTAAAGAAAATATTTTAATATTATCAGAAGAAAAGGGAAAAAACTTGGTCAATATTGTATTATGTTTAGCCCAGCAATCAATTCAAAGTCATTCATTTGATCCAGTGAGTGGGATAATAAGACACAGATGTTCATATAACATCACAATAGAAAACATTAGTATGCAAGATTCTGGAGTAAAGTCTATAGATCCTGGAAACAACATTGACAATAACAAAAACATTGTATTCAAGCATTCAGCATACGCTTGTTCATTGGATTGGAATTTTGTTCTATAGGCCAATACCAAACAAACAATATTTTTATCTAAGCCTAGTGATATCATTTGTTATCTGTGCATATTTAATCATTTTCTATTTTCATTATTTCTTAAGAAGCACTGAATGGATCGTTATCAAATTTCATTTGTTGGTTTGCTTTGGTCCCAAGTTTTGCATAGTTCATATTGGAACAGATGAAAAAATACAAGGTGACCAACAGGCAACCATCTCAGATTTTGCCCATAAAAGACTGTTATCGCTATGTCTTGATAAGTACTGGATGGATCTTTCTAATATTTCATATGTATGTTCCCTTTTTCCCTAATTGATGTTGATTTTTAGATTGATCAGAAAAACAATATGTCTGACAGGTGACAATCTTCTGATTTTGACAATGAAGTTAGTTATGGCTATTTCCATGAAGTACTGGATAAAATTTATCATATATTCTATGAACACACCTATACAAAATGGCTGGAAGGCAAACATCTTGGTTTTTAAAAATAAAATTTGTTGAGGAAATTTTTTGAGAAGTACAAGATGGCTCTTCCTCAATTTTCATTTGTTGGTGCCCAGTTGTCCTTAGCTGTTTTGCACTTTTGATTTTTGGGCTGATCAGAAAAATAATATGGCTGACAGGTGGCCATCTTGGATTTTGACTATGAAAGTTTAGTATTGTAATTTCTTGAGAAGGAATGGATGGAGCTAGACATGGTTATAGAAATTATCATGATATACCTATAACTGACTCTATAGACACATGAGTGATCTGTCAGACATAAAATATAGACATTGTCATGATATACCTATAACTGACTCTATAGACACCTGAGTGATCTGTCAGACATAAAATATAGACATTGTCATGATATACCTATAACTGACTCTATAGACACATGAGTGATCTGTCAGACATAAAATATAGACATTGTCATGATATACCTATAACTGACTCTATAGACACCTAGACACATAAAATATAGAGTCATGATATACTATAACTGACTCTACATAAAATATAGACATTGTCATGATATACCTATAACTGACTCTATAGACACATGAGTGATCTGTCAGACATGATATATAGACATTAACATGATATACCTATAACTGACTCTATAGACACATGAGTGATCTGTCAGACATAAAATATAGACATTATCATGATATACCTATAACTGACTCTATAGACACATGAGTGATCTGTCAGACATAAAATATAGACATTATCATGATATACCTATAACTGACTCTATAGACACATGAGTGATCTGTCAGACATGATATATAGACATTAACATGATATACCTATAACTGACTCTATAGACACATGAGTGATCTGTCAGACATAAAATATAGACATTATCATGATATACCTATAACTGACTCTATAGACACATGAGTGATCTGTCAGACATAAAATATAGACATTATCATAATATATCTAAAAATGTGAGTCTAAAGACATCTGAGTGATCTGTCAGGCACAAGTTATATCATGATTTAACTATAATTTATTTTAAGGATTTACCAGCTTGGTGTGCAGGACTTTAATTTTGTAGCTACAAATCAACTCGAAATTTTCCATACACACCTTTCTTTACTATCATCACTGGCAGTTCACACTACTAAAGAATGATACTGTGATGTCACAAATTCATAGCTGTGGCTAAATTTAGAGTGTTTTCGTATTACTTTAATGGTGTTAAGATTTTTAAAAAGCTTATACAGACTTCAATTGTGAGATATATATTTAACCTTTATGAAACTCACTGGAGCATTAGTTACTGATACGTTCATTTTATACAAAGTGAAAATAGTGGAAATTTTGTATAAGGAACTGTGATGAAAATTGTGTGATTACCAATTTTCATTTTTTTAATAAGTGAATTGAAATTATTGTGGGCTATCAGTAAAGTTGATCTTGAAGAAGGTACAGGGAAGTGCTGAATATGTGATTCAATCAAATGTATTGAGCTTTCTAGCAAACCTAGATAGTATCCCAGGTATTTTACTTACATTTATATTTATATCATTTGTATAGACATCTCAGACATTCATTGTGCACCTGCTGCACTGTTGCTCCTACTACGGTGTACTTTACCTGTAGCAATGTAATATTTTTTTTCTTTTTGTGCACATTAATATTTCATAAGGTTATCTAATGTTTCCATTTTATTAGTCTGCCATCATCAGATGGTTGCCTGATTAAATCACCCATGGTCAGTTCATATGTCTGTTCTTGTAACAAATTATGTACTTTCTATATCTCCAAATGTTTGAGGTAGGTCATTCTCATGCTGAGTTTGTAAGTTTCCTTTGGACCTTACCTATCTGTGTCTGTTGAACTTGGAGGCTGATTTTGAAAAAAAAAAAGGTGGCCGTCTTAGATTTTGACAGTCATGATAAAATGAAATTGATTAAGGCAATTCCCAGAATGCACTTGATTGATATTTCTCAAATTCTGTACATTGTGGGTTTCCTGATTTTATTTTGATAAGCCTGTTTCATTTCAAAACTGAAAGAAAAACAGAATAAAGTTGTTGAAAAGTTGGCCATCTTGGATTTTGATATTTTTTAGTAGTTTGTTGTTGCATCTCCTTGGAAAAGTTGGATTCTCCGATTTTATGAAAAGGTTTCCCAAGGTAGCAAACTGCTCATGTATAATAAAATATTGAGACCGATCAGAAGACAAAATGGGTGGTAGCTGGCAGCTGTCATCTTGGATTTTGATAGGTAGTAATATCTAATTTTGTAATATCATTTATTGAGACATGTCAAATTTTATTATTTTTTTAGATCTGAAATGGGTATCAATCATCACATGTTGTAGATTAGATACCATATTTATATGACAAAAAGTCCATGTCTGCTAATAAGCCTACCCATACTCTTTTTAATGTCCTGTAATAACCCCACCCCCTGAATTCAAGTCTGAAGTAAGGTATTGGTCTCTGGAATTAATAAGCTATCTCCTGCTCAGAATATATGAGAAACAAGGTGTCAGGTAGATTTTTTTGCAAGATAAATACAGTATGGTTTCCCCAAATCTCAATTTCAATAGGTTGAGTTATAAAATTATTATCATATAAAATACTCAAAAGAAATGTTTTTGCATAGCAATGATCTGTGACCACTTTCCAAACACACCTTTTAGTCATTGCTTTAAAGCAACAAGTTGTATTTATTAGAATCAATTTTTTATCACATTTTTACATTTACAGGCCTTTGATTTCATCAGTCATCAAGCTGAATAAAGAAACGCTGTTGTAGGAAACAGCGTCTGATTTTTCGTCGCAGTAACTCGCCAGCCCCCCCTCCATAAATGACTGATTGGCGAGCCTTTCTATATGGGGGACTGGCATCAATGACTGCTGAGCTGGGTAAGTTTTATTTAAAGAGAAATTTCTATTTTGGTCCAATTTGAGACTAATAGAATCTTTCACTAGTGTACGTTGGAAATTGAGATAAGTGGATCTCAACCCCAGGAAAGGAAATCTCCTGTCTGTAAAAACATGGATGTATTTGTCCAGGGTAAAAGAATCAATTGTCCAATATTGTTTTAATTGAGATATTCCTGAATTTGATACCTTTATCATTTGATCAGTCGTTGATACAATAGCAATTGTGATCATTCATCTGTAACTTCCATCAAAGCTATTTATTTTTTGTAACTTTAAAGCCTTGTTATGCCCCTGTCATTGATATATATATATAGAGTTTCCTATATATGCCTGTCTCATCTCATCCTGATGAGTCAAGCTCTGAAAGTTCTATACCTGATCTTGTTCTGGTTTGCATATAAGGGCATTCACATCTCATAGAATGTAGAATAATTATGTAAAGTTTGTTTTGTTAAATATCATACTCAACAATTTATAATTATAGGATATAATATTGCAAGACTGTCTGCTATTATAAACTAACATGTTATCAAATATATGCAAAGCATATCTGAAATGAATTTATGAAATTGTTACTGCAAAACCATATGTTTCCATGGTCCTCATTTCCAACAAATGCTTTTTCCACTTAATTTTAGGGATAAATGTAGCTCAATAAATCTTTTTATACTTGTTTTAATAGTCAGTGGAAATATGAGTCAGATGGATTAGAGTACTCCTGCAATATATGAAAATAACTCCCTCACAAAGATGTATTATTTTACAGTAATATCTATAATATTAAAGATAAACTGGTAAATACAAAGTTTGTAAGAAGTAGATATGTTGCAGTGTCATTTTAAATATTATCTATAAACTTCAGGGACTTTCCCAGCTGATACCACCAAGACACGATTACAGGTCCAAGGACAAAAAATAGATGTTCACAACCGCGAGCTGCGTTACCGTGGTATGGTACATGGCTTATATAGAATAGCCAGAGAGGAAGGCAGCAGGGCTCTCTACTCCGGGTGAGATTTTATACCTTATGTGTTCTTGTATTAGTTCTTTTTTGCTGCTGGAAAAAGGCCACTTTTACAATACAGCAAGTTATGACAGAAGAATTTAGGTAGCCTGATTTGGAGGGGATGAAGTGAATCTAGAGAAACACTTCTGCAAGGGTAAAAAGATTTTTAATCTACTTTAATGAAAAGAAAGCTTTTCCATTGTAATGATGAAAGGACATCTGGCCCCACTTGTATAAAACATCTCAACTTGAGATTTCCTCAAGTCGAGATTTTCCTCGGCTGATATCTCCTCAAAAACGGCTTGTATAAAATTTTCTCAAGGAACAGGAGGAAGTCATTGGCTAGGATGTCCTGAAATTCCTTGAGGAATTTTCATACAGGATATTTTCAAGGAGATATCAGCTGAGGAAAATCTCGTGTTTGGGGATGATGTTGTTAAAGGTTAATCTGTAAGTACAGATGTGTTCAGTCAAACCTGCTGGAATGGACTCTCTTTTATAGGAGACAATATCATTATGCTGATAATTCCAAGTACTTCAATGTATTTTAATGGTTATACTCAACTAAATGAGGTTTTGCAGTCTGAAATATGTTTTTTTGTTTCTGAAAAGTAGATACTTCCTGTAGAGAAGTTTGTCAATTCGCCATGAGTTGGTTCCTGTTCCTGGCTCAATGCATTCAAAGTTATCTGTTGAAACGACAAACAAATCTCAATAAAAACTTGATAAGTGAAAATAGCTTCACTTCAAAATATTAAAGGACATTTTTCTTACAACAGATTAAATAGTTAAATTTACTTGTGTTAACGTAGAGTCCAATTCATCACCTAATTAGATAAAATCACTAATTTTACCTATGATATAGATTTAGGGCATATTATTTCCAAGGATCTGGCAGAGTAGTCACCATGTGTAAGTGGTACCTTATGGGTGCTCGGCAACATCAAACACTTCTCAGTAGAGCAACACGAAGGCCAGTGAAGCATGATGAAATATTTAATTGTGATAGGACACAATCTTATCATCGAGAGAAAATAAGCATAATCATATTTATTTGAAGGTGTTACGAAAATTTGATGACTTTTTTTTCAATTAGTCAGATGAAATGTTTGGTATTTTAATTTAAAGAATTTAAAAAGTAAAAATGATAAATAGAATGGGTATATTCTGTTTTATTGGCAATGATGAGCATTTGTCCTGCTGATATGAGGAAATTTACTCCCTGAAATGAATCATCCAATCTCTATACTAAGGACACATCTCCACAACGGAGCATTTTGCTTTATCCGATGGCTGTTCTTTAGACAGGGTTGACTCTAAAATGATTGAGATATGACCCTGAATTAGATACCTTATATAAAATAACCCACGGTATAAGGGAACCTCATACAGTATACATAACCCATGGTATAGCTATAAAGAGGTGATATTTTCAGTCCAGTTTGTGTTTGCCTTGGTATACCTCAGGACTTTGTAATGCATGATGTCATTGTGTATATAAAATATTGGCTTACCTTAATATACAAAACAGTTTTCTATCTCAACCCTGCTGTAATAAAGTACCTAGGGAATGTCATCTGGTCCGGTGACTCTGCTTATATGTTATAGTCGGGTACACACACACAGATAATTTATCACAATTGGAAGCAAAAGATAGTGTCATACTTTATAAAACTGCTTTTATAGAAATCTTAAAAGAACATTTATTGAAATATTGTTAAAAAATGTGAAAAAAATATGTCATTAGTTATTGCTATCGGACTTTACTAGAAATTGATGTAGCATTCATTGTTCAGTGAATAATTTAGAAGTAAGTGGAAAAATATTCTACATTATTCATACACTTACTACAATACCACAAAGACAGGGAATTCTACATCAAACATATAGTTAGTAGGATACCACACAGACAGGGAAAACTACATCAAGCATATAGTTAGTAGGATACCACACAGACAGGGAATTCTACATCAAACATATAGTTAGTAGGATACCACACAGACAGGGAATTCTACATCAAACATATAGTTAGTAGACACACAGGGAATTCTACATCAAACATACCTATAAACCTATAGTTAGAAGGATACCACAAGGACAGGGAATTCTACATCAAACCTATAGTTAGTAGGATACCACACAGACCGGGAATTCTACATCATACATACAGTTAGTAGGATACCACACAGACAGGGAATTCTACATCAAACATATAGTTAGTAGGATACCACACAGACAGGGAATTCTACATCAAACATATAGTTAGTAGGATACCACACAGACAGGGAATTCTACATCAAACATATAGTTAGTAGGATACCACACAGACAGGGAATTCTACATTATACATACAGTTAGTAGGATACCACACAGACAGGGAATTCTACATCAAACCTATAGTTAGTAGGATACCACACAGACCGGGAATTCTACATCAAGCATACAGTTAGTAGGATATTACACAGACAGGGAATTCTACATCAAACATATAGTTAGTAGGATACCACACAGACAGGGAATTCTACATTATACAAAGTTTGTAGGATATCACCAAGACACAAAAGAAATGTGCAAACAGAGATAGGGATTCATGTTGAAATTACTATACAACAATATGGATATTTATGTCTGGGTAAACATTTCTAATGATGTGGCAGTTGCTAGGCAATGCCATTGGTATTACTGTACTGTGTAACTTATGTGCTTTAAATCATTACTCTATTGAAGTTTGCTGATATCTTCAGACGCACAGCTGTTATCCAATTATCCCTACCTACACCTGTTGTAAATATTGTCAAAGTAGCAGCTGTTTTAATGTGAAATAAAATGAATTAACAAAAAAGATTATTCATTTGTATAATAAATGAATGTCATTAATAAGATAGGAAGTGTCAATATTCATCTAGGGTCTACTTTTGATTGTAAATGTTACTATTTATTTGGTTTCAGAATTGCACCAGCATTACTGAGGCAAGCTACCTATGGGACAATCAAGATAGGCATATATCACTCACTTAAACGAGTGATTGTAAAAAACCCTAAAGGTAAGTATAACATCATGGGTGATTGTAAAAAAAACCTAAAAGTAAATATCGCATAATGGGCTCTAGTAAAAACCCTAAAAGTAAATATTGCTTAATGGGCTCTAGTAAAAACCCTAAAAGTAAATATTGCTTAATGGGCTCTAGTAAAAACCCTAAAAGTAAATATTGCTTAATGGGCTCTTGTAAAAAATCCTAAAAGTAAATATCATGGAATGGGCATTTGTAAAAAAAGAAACATACAGTTAACTATTGTTTAATGAGAGTTTGTAAAAATTAGAGATTTGCTGTCAAATTGTCATGATTCATCGTATCTGTATTACGTAGTAAAACTACTTAACAGCAATTTGGGAACTCATTTCAGAACCCATTTTATTTCTTTGGAATTGGAAATGATGCTCTGGACAATCCTACAGAAATTACTGCTTAATTATGACATGTATGACCTTTGATTGACCTTTAAATCTGATTTCAGATGAGACCCTCATGGTCAATATGTTTTGTGGGATTGTGGCGGGAGTGGTGTCTAGCGCAGTGGCCAACCCCACGGATGTTCTCAAGGTAAGTCCAGTTATAAAAACTGGCGACCATCATCAAGGATATCAGAACTAGTATACATTGTAAACTTATTAGGTATTTTGTTTTAATAGTAAACATTTAGTGTTATTGGTTTTTCTCAGAAAACTCTAAAGGTTTTTCTCAAATTTCCACGTTGACAATAAGATAAATCATTTACCTTATAACCTCAAAAAGCTTTAGTGCTATACCACCAAAATCTGGTTTATAGTTAGGTCTCCAGATCAAATCAGAACACAAATAGAGATTTGTAATACTTAACTTGGATACAGTTTTTCAAACCTTTTCAAATTGAATTATAATTTGTACACATCCTGTATTAGAGCAAAATATAATGTACCTTAAACATTATGTATATTTCATACAAGACAGGTTATTTGATTATTTGGGGGGAGGGGGACTGTAAATGTTTGTAAACTTGTTAAGAAGTTCCATCTAAATTAGTTTCATGAGTATATAGTTTAAGCACTCCAATAACAAAGTTTTGTGTGTCAAACAGGAAATTTTTATGGTAATGTCTGTTAAGATTTGAACATGGGACCTCTACCTTACTAATTTTCTGTTCACGCTATTGAGCTATAGAAAAGTTCTAGAAATTGTGGATAGTTTTTACCAGGGTTACATACATGTATAATGTTACAGGTGAGAATGCAAGCTAACAGCAGTCAGGAAATAAAAACTACAATGCCGAGGGCTTTCATGAATATCTATAGAACGGAAGGAAGGAAAGGTTTATGGCGTGTAAGTAAGAACATATGAGTTGCTTTATCAGCAACAACAATTAGAATATACACTTACCTATTTTCTTTTGATGAGAGCATTGTTATGCCTGTACAAACAAACAAACAATAAAAAAAAAACAAGGAAACAATAAAAATAATATTTAGATTTTCTATTGGACAATGGAAAACATTTAATTACATTCAATTGCTAGTTCATAACTGTCTATACAATCAATTAATTCCATATTTTGAAATCATTGTCTTTTCCCACCATAACAGGGTGTCGTTCCGACGTCACAACGAGCAGCTGTTGTAGCTGGTGTTGAACTTCCTGTCTATGATACAAGCAAGAGATACATCATAAACCATGGTCTACTAGGAGATACTATATTTACTCATTTTATGTAAGTGTCTGCTATCTCCAATATTCTTGTTGTCTCGCCTTATTGTTTGAAAGCAAACCCTCATAATGAATTCATGAATGAACACCAAAAGTTTGTATAAAAAAAACATACTTATGAAATGATGTGATAACCACTGCAAATTGCATATATCTGTTGGAATTGATCTGAGGTGCTGAAATTCTATGAAATGCAGGTTTCAAGAGCTCCTCTTCAAAAGATTTATGAATGGACATCAGAATTGAAAATAAATATTAGATATAAGTAAAAGCCGTATCAATAAATCATCCAGTAATAAATATTGATTTCTTTTAGCTGTGAAAAAATGAAAATGACAATTATTATTTTTCTTTTTATTTTATTTCTTTTATTCATTATTATTATTTTCTTTACTTCATCACTTGTTACACTAAATATACATTTTGTGTCCACAGAGCCAGTGTTATAGCAGGTCTAGCAGGAGCCGTAACATCTAATCCCATTGACGTTGTAAAGGTAATTTTTCCAAATTCCCGAAATTTTCTCTTATTCCAAGCATTTCCTATCGAAATTCCTATTGAAGTGAGATTTAATTGAAATCTTAATCGTTTCCACAAATTCTGTGACTTCTAATTTAAAAATAAGATATTTACAATGAGAAGTAATTTCATTCTTTCATGTTTTTATTCACCTGAGGTAAAGCCTTTGGAATTCAATTTCTTGTGGAAATTGCTTTGGCCTTGACTGAAGTTATATAAAGTATAGGTAATGTTGTTGTGTATCCATTCTTACATTATCCAAGAATGCTTTTGAGAAGGGTTTCCCCAGCTGTGACATTTGATCTGCCAAAATCATATCTATATATAATACACATAACCAGTACTTGCCTTTTTTATTTTTGGAATTGCTTCTGAAAATACTTGTAAAATATTTTTGATCTAATTTGTTACACAATTTTTTGTGTACTTAACAATGGAAGTGCTTTACAGGCTATGTATCTTAATCATAAACATACACAGCTAACTATGTATACTTATCATTACAAATAGACCTGTACACATTAATTGCTATGTGATGTAAAAACTGAAGAATAGTGCTTGAATTCAGGTTATATTCTTTTCATAAGAATTCAACTCAGTCATATGTCAGTTCTTCATTATGTCCATCTACTGACACAGTCCTGAGAACAATTCATCAAAGAAATGACACAAATACTGCTTTATAAATCTTATCTATATAAGATCTAACTTTATCACAACTAAGAAACAATTTTTTTCCAAACTTATGTAGTTTTCTTGAAAGGAATGAGACTGAGACTTTAATGTATGCCAAATTTGTGATGGACAAAATGTTAAATATCTAAAAGTAATTTCATTTCTCCTGCATTAGCTTTCCCCAAACATTGCTAATCAAGAAGCAACATATATAATGTAAACCAATTGGGAATTTTGTGATCGAAGCAAATTTACAAAAATTACTATAAAATAAGTTTTTATAACATATGGATGATACTTCATATAGAAAAAAAAATGTTGTTAGCTGTGTTGTCTGCTTACCAAATTACCATTATATGTATATTAAATGTATCCAGTATTATCTCCGATCAGCTCAAGAAGTCATTCTTACTTTCAGACACGCATGATGAACCAGAAAGCCTTGAAGAGCACAGTGGTAGGAGAGGCTGCTGCTGTCCAAACCATATACACCTCTTCTATAGACTGTCTAACACAGGTATAGAGGCCCGTTAGCTTTACTATAGGCTGTTTATCAAGAACATGTATACAGGCCCACTGTACCTTTTCTATATAGACTTTTACATAGGCATATATATAGCCCCAATGTACCTCTTCTATAGACTGTCACTTCTTCTCTAGACTGTCTAACACAGGTATAGAGGCCCGTTAGCTTTTCTATAGGCTGTTTATGAAGAACATGTATACAGGCCCACAGTACCTTTTCTATATAGACTTTTACAGACATATATATAGCCCCAATGTACCTCTTCTATAGACTGTCACCTCTTCTATAGACTGTCTAACACAGGTATAGAGGCCCTTTAGCTTTTCTATAGGCTGTTTATGAAGAACATGTATACAGGCCGACTGTACCTTTTCTATATAGACTTTTACATAGACATATATATAGCCCCAATGTACCTCTTCTATAGACTGTCACCTCTTCTATAGACTGTCTAACACAGGTATAGAGGCCCGTTAGCTTTTCTATAGGCTGTTTATCAAGAACATGTATACAGGCCCACTGTACCTTTTCTATATAGACTTTTACATAGACATATATATAGCCCCAATGTACCTCTTCTATAGACTGTCACCTCTTCTATAGACTGTCTAACACAGGTATAGAGGCCCGTTAGCTTTTCTATAGGCTTTTTATCAAGAATATGTATACAGGCCCACTGTACCTCTTCTATAGACTGTCACCTCTTCTATAGACTGTCTAACACAGGTATAGAGGCCCGTTAGCTTTTCTATAGGCTTTTTATCAAGAATATGTATACAGGCCCACTGTACCTTTTCTATATAGACTTTTACATAGACATATATATAGCCCCACTGTACCTCTTCTATAGACTGTCTAGCACAGGTATGTATACAGGCTCACTATAAATCTTCTGTAGACTGTCTTAACACTGGTATGTATGCATGCTCACTGTATCTCTTATAGATTGTCTGACAAAGGTATGTCTAAAGGCCAGAAATACCTCTCTTGTAGACTCTAAACAAAAGGATGCATGCAGGCCCTTTGCTCCTCTTCTGTAAATTATCATAATTTAACTGATATTCAGTTTTAACCACATATATATTAAGATTTATTTGTAATTGGAAAGTTCATAAATTCATGTTTGCAATTTGGGACCCCAATAATATTCTCCCAAACCTTGCTTAAGTTTACCAAGGTCAAGGTCACCATTACAATTTATATTAGATGTAAAAAAAATGGCAGATGCTTGGATGATGGCTCGAAAAGGATTGTTTGCATTCTTGTCATCTTTTCATTGGTGAAAATGTTGTACCTTATATGAATTGTTTAATACTGGTACTCTTTTTTTTTTATAGACGGTGAGAAATGAAGGATTTATGGCACTCTACAAAGGATTTATACCAAATTGGTTCCGGCTGGGACCGTGGAATGTAATTGTATCCTTTACAAGTAACTCTCATCCCTTCATTGGGATAGACTGCCATCCTGATTCTATCAACTCATTTAGATTAACTCAAGTTTTTCCAGTTTTGAATCACATAAGATCTACAGGTATTTTTGCTTGGGATCTGGGTTCTATTTTATAACTGTCCTAAATTTGAATTTTTTACCCAATATTAAGAACAAAATCAGAAAAAAAAAAAAGTTGAATGTTCGATCAACCTCCCATAATATACTTACTTTTGTGTTAATGAACAGAATCAATTTGCTTTCCTTAACCTAAGTTTCAGTTTTTTATAACTTTTGAACAAATGAAGAAAATTTATTGACAAAACAGTATGCTGAATCGCGACAGCAGATTCTTCTGATATTCTTCCAAAATTTGTCTGTGATCATCCTCTACATCTGTCAACTTTTACATACGTGTGTCAATGATGTGTAGTATGTCATGTGTCGGCAACAGCAACATCCTGATGACAATATGGTACTGTAACTTGATCAGCATAATAATCTATGTGTGATCATGACATGTCCATTGACATGCATAAACACATTGGTCAAAACAGGTGTCAGTTTGATATGATCCATCTGTTTATGTCATCTCACACGTACTTTGACATGCATAATCGCATGGATCACAGCAGGTTTCAGTTTGACATGATCCATTTGTTTGTGTCGTCTCACATGTACATGGAAATGCATAATCACATGGGTCAAAACAGGTGTCATATTGACAAGATCTGTAAGTATGTGTCATGGCAAACTTTACATCAGGAGGAACCATATCCACTGAAATGCATTAACTACATGCACCATACATCAGACAACAGACTAAGATCTCTGTATTTAAGTTTGTGGTCCTACAGTCTTCATCAACAGCATGGCGTTTGTTTTATGAAATAGTTTGTAGTGAAGATAAATTTCTTATCCACTGGTATGCTTCTGAAAATTTGTCAGTTAAAAATTTTTGATGTTTTGCTTATGTTTTGCTATGTAAGCAAGCACGATCCATTTAATGCCTTATTCTTGCTTAAATTTTCACTAAAGCTGAAATTGTAACAAGTGGGTTATTTTTTGTTAAATTAATGGATTCTTCATGCAGTATCACAAATTTGCTTGGTACCTTTGATCCTTCTCACACCAGAATCAAAGCTGCTTTATGCATCCATACCTGTCATGTCCTAGGATTTGGATGAAGGCCTCAAGTTTATTTTCATGAATATGGTCATTTTCACTGTAGAATTTTCTTCCTAAGCAGGAGATTTTTTGAAATGAAATTATTAATATTTTTTAACTTCTGAATCAGTAATTTGTTTTATTCTTAAAACTGAGTTGATTGTAATATATGTGGTCATAAAAAATGTTAAGCAGATATGATTGAAATTGAATAAAATAACTGTTGAATCTTCATTTTGAGAAATAATTTCAAACTAGATACATGTGTATCTTAAAAGTTTTAAACCCTGGATTGGTACCAGTTTATGCATCTGGAATTTTTGTATAGAATACTGTGTACTGTTTATTCTGTAACATGCTCAGATTAACACACTGTGATTGTTAAACTCAGCTTATTACAGGACATTGAAATAGCAGTTGTTGATATTTCTAAAGAACCATGGTAGTTATGTGTTAATTACTGGATATTGTTGAACAGGTTCTGTTGCAGAATAAGTATGGGGAAAATGGTAACCTTGATCAACTCTTCTATCAGAGTTTCATTGTTAATAGTCCTCAATTGGGCAGTTTTGATGATAAAATCTAATCAAGTGCTTACTTACAGTGAGACTTAAATTTTGATGTGAGAAAATCAAACGGTAAAGATTTGTGTGTTCGTGAGTGAAATGCTGGTCTCAGATTTTGGTGATGGTTAATAATTTAGTCTCCTTTGTAAAATAGGGTCTTCAGAATGTTAAAATAGAGTGATAGTACATTTTGAAAACAAAAAATAATCTTTTTTTTTTTTTTTTTTTTGTTTTGTTAATTTTGCTGTTGTTGATATATGCAGATTTTTGTTGTCGGATACTGTTTTGAATGTATGTTGTATATTTATTTCAACTCATTGTTGCCATGACACCTGTGATTCCTGATCCCAAAGAGGTCATTATTTATACTTTGAGTTCAGAGGTGTTGAAAATATCTTGATATTTTATTAATACATGTATGTAAACTACTGTGTTTACATCGACTGTTCAAAGTAAAATGGTTCTACAGAAAGTTGCTGCTGTTACAACATTCATTTAAATTATAGATAATTTACTACATATATTGTAAATGAGATATTTTTTATAACTGTCTAGTTATGTAAATTTGAAAATGCGGTCTTGGTAGAGCAGAAATGAATAGTTGATAATAGATGTATTAGACGTGAGTGAAGTATTTTTGTGTCAATTCAGACATATTGTTTCTGTTTGTTTCAATTCCTTTCATTTTCAATATGATTTCTTTTACATCTGTCTTTGAGTCTGCACTCTGTACTTTATCAAGGGTGTTAAGACTACGTTTATCATAATCTACAATAATAGTGTATCTTATTTGTCCTGTTAACACTCCCCTCTTTCCTCTTTTTGAAAATGCTCACATATTCATGATGCGTTTTAAGTGACATTTCATATATATAGGTCCTTATTATTGATATGTATCAATCTCTTTATATATCTAGAAGGACTCCAGCAAGTATGAACTACCAGGGTAATATATGAATATTTGTTGTGAATTTAATTTGTACTTATAAACTGTGGGATACGTTACAATTTAAACTATTATATATAACATTACCTATACATACATCAAGAGTTAACTTAAATTTGACAGTTCAAATTTTCCTGTGTTAACCTAAAGGCAACCTAAAGACAAAAACAAATTAACATTGCTGAAATTATGCAATGGAGTGCAATTTCCTCAACACATTCTATCTGCTTGATATTTTCATAGCATTTTGGCAGTTATAGCTTGTCGTCCAAAACAATGATTGATTAAACCTCTTGAAAATAACAAAAGTATGTAAACATGTCTATAGCATCGTTGGTAAGTCAGCCAAGTTTCCATGCAGACTCATCATAATTTGTATCAGAATGAAAAAGAGTATCAGTCTTTTAATATTTTCACTTGCCGTGGTCTTAAAATTGTTTTTACCCCTTTCTTGGGTATATTAGATTGTTGAATGTGATATGTTTTAAATGTCTCCTGGTTTTTAACCCTTGCCATATTTGTTATTTAGTTGCAATTTGTTTTATTGATGTACAGTATAAAACATAATCATGCAATAACCAGATTCTAGCTTTTTTAAATAGGTGAAAAACGATAATTCTTTAAAATCAAATGCAGTAAGCAAGTTTATTTGTAATTTTAGTTGGGTGGATGTTTGAATTCATAACTCTTTTGTTTTGTGAAACGGAACTGGAAATACTTATTTTGAAATGATTATGTGAGCATTTACCACCTGGGGACAGTGGAAAATATTCCCCTTTGAACACGATTCAGTAAGAAAAATTTTCTTGATCTACTTTATAATGACAAATTAAGACTTAGGAAGTATTAGATGTTTAATTTTGTGACACATTGAGGCTAATATATGGGGGGAATATTTCCTGTAACCCCCCACCCCGGAACATTTTCTTAATTTTGGTTATAGTGATGGTGTCAGTAGAATAAAAATTCTTATAATACAACCCGTAGTAGATTTGAGTGAGATTTCAATAACTACATGGTCACCTTCAGACAAATGACCAGTGACCACTACTTCTGACCTTAGTGTGCATAAGATTATAGTACAAGGGGAAAAGTTGGTCTAATCCATTTCACAAACTACCTATGTCAGTGCTAGTATGCTTCACACTGGTCATTTCTCTAATGATGGTGACTTGTCATGGAAAAATCACACTCAAATCTTCTACTGGTTATGTTATAGATATTTACATTCTACCCCCTTTAGCAGTAAACAGCATAGCATGTCTGTAAACATTATCTTATGCATGTGATGATTTGACCACTAATAGTTGAAATATTTGCTTGGTATTAATTGTTTGCATTATCTTTAATGGTTCCAAATAAAGCAAAATGAAATTCCCTGCAAATATTTCAACTACCAGAGTATACACTATGTAGTAACATCTGTTTATCAAGACTGTGGAATACACAGTAGGGACATTTTTTTGTTATCTGGAATGCCACATACTCATTTAGTAATTAGTTTTTTCTGACATTTATATTTTCAAATTGAAGTACTTGTACAGTAGAGTGAATACATATTATTGAGAATGAGAAATTTTAACTCCAATGCGAGAATCAATATTAGTATGAAATAAATTACTAAGACCTGTGTATGAATGGACAGTTGGATGTCTGGGCTAAGAATCTTAGTAACACAAGCTAAAATGTACTGGGTAGTATATATTTTTACCAGTTCCATTGCATGTACACAGCAAGCAAATAGCCCTTTATTGATTCTAATGTGTAATGCTGGCTATAAGAGCCTGCAAATTGCACTGTTACTTTGTGTTAGTATTACTACAAGTGTTTCCTGTTTATTGTTTTTTGGTTTCCATGATGAAGCAGTCCCAGGTTCTGTGTAGTCCCAGGTTCCGTTTCTTTTTTCTCCATCTTGTGTTTTCTAAATTAAATTATTTGTAAGACTTTTATTGATTTTCATTCATGTGTTGTTTATTATATCAATAGATGACATATCATATTCCATAGCATACTCTCTCAACTCAATAATGTTTATTTTGTTTGTACAATGTAATTTTGGGAGTATAGTGCAAATATTTAAGCATTTTAAAAAAAATTTTTTTTGCAATTCAAAATGAAAATAACCCTTTTATTTATTTTTTTTCAGTGTGGGCTTCAAAAATTGTCATGTCATGTTCTTACTCTCATGAAATTCATAAATATTACCTTTGTAAAACAGATATATGACAGATAACTCTGATTTCAAATATTTGTAAGGTATCATGTAACCAATCTATGGAAGATATTTCTAAGGTAGCATGTAACCAATATATTCAAGATATTTCTAAGGTAACAACCAGTTTTGGAATTGGTGCTAAGTTAGATAGGCATTACATATCGAAAGTGACTCTTGAATATTTTTTCTTTGAATGAGATTATCATTCTATGCATTAGATTGTCACTTATTGGCAGAGAAACTAAGATTTAAAGCACATATTCAAATAATCTGGATTTCATTTCTAAAATACAGATTCCAGCATGTGTTTTGAATCTTTTCATTTATACCTCAAGGATTTTTGGTCGGAACTGTTTTGAAGTATGAGTAAGAACAAATACCTGTTTATAGATAGAAAGTGTTCAAAGATTTTTTGCTGGTACATTTTATTAGCATTTTCCATTTTCATTCGTTCATTCATTCATTCATTCAAATTTTGGAGTATAATCGTTACAAAAATGAAGTTAGAGTTTAATATGCACAGAAAAAAGGTGTTTTTGTTTGTTTGTTTGTTTTTTTTTGTTTTGTTTTTTAATTGCTTGAATGATTAAACTGAGATGCAACACAGGTTGTTGAAAGCCAATTTATTGCTCAATAGTAGTAACTACACGTTTCATGTGCAATGTATCAAAAAATTGAAATAAAATCTACAGTTGTTGGATGATGACAACAATAAATGCAGAAATATAAACATTCAAAATGTCCCATTCAAACACAAACCAGATAAAAGAATATTGATTCAGTCCTCCTTATTGCTTGCTTAACTACAAGCAATGTATAATTTTTGAAATTTGCCGCTGAAGAGATCTTTATTAAAAGAGTCACCAAGCTGACATGACTAGAAATTTTCTTTTATGTAGATTTTATTTCATTACCTTGTTTTTATTTGCACAGTAGATATTTTTGAATGGAATTATTTACTACACATATGTATGAATAAAATGTAAAATAAATCATTGTTTTTCAGTTTCCCCTTATTTAGACTTTTTTTCTTTATCTAAATATATCAAATTGGAAATTATTTCATTACTTGATAAATTTTTATAGAAAAACATGTCACATTATTTCCTTTTAAAATTTTTTATGTAAGATGGTTTTCCCAGAAACTAGGATAAAAATCTAATATGTTCTTGTCAATGTTTTCTTACATACGTCATAATAGTACAGTTTTAAGTGACTGGTATATAGATAAATATAACTGTTTTGTATCAAAGTCTGACTGATCGACATCTGATCAGGCATTATTCCATTTAACATTAAACTGCACTCTGCAACAGTGATATAACTATTACATGGTCGTGTGAGTGTTCTACAACATCACGTTATAATCGCACACATGTCCTGGAAGTTGCAAGAAAGTGCAGCATGGATTTATAGAGCTCAAATAACCAATTTTAACCTCAGACCATGTATGACATGTCTCAAAAAGAAGACTAAAACTAGGTGTATTTTCATGTGTAACGTTGGCATGATCAAATTTAGTAAGAAATATAACACTTTTTTCTTATGTGAAATCTTGTTTATGTGTTAAAAGAATTTTGTCGCTAGATGCAACTTTAACCAATTGATGTACAATTATTTTATATTTATATATATGTGTTCAAGGGTTTTTGCACTTTCAGCGATTATGTTTTTGAAAGTCTGTAAATTCTACTGGATTAGTTTTTTTTTTGGGGGGGGGGGGAGGGGTAGGGAGGGGGGGGGGGAGTTGTCTAAAATATGATACACAGTAAATTATAATACCAATAAGCAGAAAAGATTGAATATCAGAAGAAGCAATTTTAAGATAAACTTTCAGATCCAAGGCAAGATTTACAATACTTTTACAATGTATAAGTATATCATGATAAGATATTCAGATGTTTTGTTCACAATATGTATTCCTATAGAAGTCATGCATTAAAACTGTTGATACCGGTGTAACTCTCGAAAATCTTTAAGTGCATTTCACACTGACAGTCTACAGTATTATTTGTATAAGGTCATTACCTTGTCATATATTGAGGGAAAAACCGTGCTTACAGTAAAATCTGCTTATGAAATGCCGAAGGAGAAACCTCATGCCTTCAACTGAGCTGTTTTTGTCAGGGTACATGTAATATTCAAGGCTAGATTAGAATTAGAGCCTGATCCAGTCACTACCAGGTAAATCATTATTTTTTGGCTAGGTGTGAATAGCTTGGGTCATTTTGATAAAGGATCTACTTGTTTAGGTGGCTACCTCAATAATTATCGTCAACCATAGATTCTAGAACAACTTAAGATGTGAAAAATATTGTTATCACTTATAACCAGATGTTACATTTATTTGAGGGGAAGGACATGAAGAAGTATAGACAGATATGAATGGGTGAGATCAGTTATACTTTGGTGCTCTGTGTAGGCAGGTTCATATAACTCCCGCATAAAAATATGTAGATGTCATAATCAGTCAAGTATTATTTTAACTTTACTCAATATTCAAAACAAAAAGGAAAAAAATGTGGAATATAAACCCTGTTGATTTTATTACCCGTGTGACATTCATTTCAGGCTTTTCAATACTAACTGTTTTGAGAAATTTGTTTTGATGAATTTTTCACTTTTGTATGGTTGAATATTGTAAAGGAAATCATAATTTTGTACTGCTGACCTTGCTATGGAAAAATATGGGCTTATCTTTATATCAGAGTTATGTACAGTTATTGAAAGTACATATATATACAATGTCCAAGTTTCTGACAAAGTTTGAAAAAGTTTTGAAAACCAACCAACTTTGTTCTATGAAAATTTGGTCAGTAACATTCTTAAGGTATGTTTCGGTTTATAAATGATCTCGCATTGTATGTCTGATTGCAGCCAGAGCTATATCAGACGTGTTAAAAAGTTCAAACTCTTGTTGATGTTTTATTCTATCAATAATATGAAGATATTGAGAAATAAATCTATCTTGAAGGAGATTTGTTTTTTGTGATACATGTATCTTAAGTTTGAAATTATATACACATGGATAAAAGTCTTAAGTGACTTATTGTGAACATCTGTCTTCATCATGAACTTTTTTCGTCTTACATTCTGTACTTTGATACTCTGAAAAAGGAATTCTGAAGTTTAGCTTTGTGGAAACATTCAATAAATATTTTGGATGGAATATTTTTCAGGTCGATCACTTATCAAAGGTGGCTATAACAGCATAATTGTGATGGTTACAGTTGATGGAAAGTTGGTATGTTGGTTTTGACTGATGATCCTAGCAAAATTGTTTTTAGTGCAAAGCAGAAATCTAATTTTACTGCCACATTTATCATTTTGGAAACCAATTTTAAACTTTTAAACTTGTGTTCTATGAGACCTAGAATCATGATATTTGGCTGGATGGTTTCTAGGATGAAATCCTTCAAATTTTGCAAAATGAAATTGTCAAGGTCAAAAGGGTCAAATTGGTTAAAACATTCAAATGACTTCTTCTCAATAACCAAATATCTAATACCTGGTACATTATTTCTGACAAGAGGTTTACTAGAATGGAAGTTCAACAATGTTTACAAAAAGAGATTACTTTGATCCAATTTCAAGGTCACAGAGGTCAAGTTTGTCAACTCCATAACTAAAGGTCTATTACCATGATACTTGGCTTGAAGGTTTCCAAGATGAAATGTCCTTGATCCGTATTCAAGGTCACTAAGACAATACTCTTTAAAACCTTTAAAGAACTTCTCAAGAACCAAAATGTTAAGAATCATGTAACATGTATTTGACTTTAAGCTTCCTGGGATGAAACCTGATAATGTTTTGGAAAAGAAAAGACTACGGCCCATATTTAACATCACAGAGATCGAATTTGTCGAAAACTTCTTTCTGATTAAGCAAAATATCTAGAATCAGGATACTTGGTAGATAGGTTTCTGGGATGAAGCTCAACGGATCCAAATTTGTTAAAACCTTCAAACAACTTCTAATTAGCATAATGCCTAAAATCATGATATTTGGTCTATAGGTTCCCGAAATAAGCCCATCAAAGTTTGCAAAAAGAAATTACCTTGATGCATATTTAAGGTCATCAGGGTCAAATTAATTGAAACCTTAAGGGAGATCTTCTCAAATACCAACTTTCATCAACCATGTTAAATGTTAATGTATTTTTGAAAAAGGTTTGAACATCAAGTGATTGGTGCAGGCCCTCTTGTTTGCAGTTCTTCAAAATAGTTGAATGGATTTTAACTAAATCTAAATATTTCCTTGCCGAGAGAATCAGAATCCACATTCAATGGACGATAGGGCTTTAAGGGCTGACCCTACTAGAGGACAAGACCTGAAATGGGTCACAAAGTGTAAAAGCTTCAATCCTTTTCTCTGAAATTACTTTTTGATTATCATCAAACTTTGCTGAAATGATTCTTCAAGGAAAATTTGTGGTAATATACATAATATGTTCAAGGATGCATTAGATACCAAATTAAAATCCCTTGATCCACTTCAGGATCACATTACCAAATAATGTGGGCCTCTAACAATAATACAAACCAGACACAGAATTTAGTTTAAAATTGACAATTTAATTGGTAACTACTACAGCCAATCCATACAACATGTACACTTTACAAGCCACAGTTTTATATAAATACAGTTAACTGAACATGTGTCAAGTTTCTTGGAAGGTAAACATGATGTCTTGGACAACTTCAAATTTTCTTTTACTAATGATCGAGGATTTTTATCGAACAGTAAAACTAAAATCTCAGGAACAGCAATGAATGTTCAACTACATCTTCGCTCTATTGAACCCTACAATGTGACAGTAAAGCTCTCCAAACTCCTTGGTCCACCACTTTCAAAATGTTATCCAATGTAGACATCCAAATTCATTCCAGACATTCCTTTCATTCCTTGTGATTCACATCCAAAAAGACTCGCAAAACATTTATAGACATTGAAAAGATATCCTAGTAAGCAATTCCTTTCAGTACTACGCCACACGCATTGGGAAAAAAGACAGACCACGAACAAAGTCATCCATTTTGCTTTCAAAAAGTTCACTTTTGATGGGTTGGTCCAGGGCACACATTGGATTTCTTACTACATACTCCACAAATATCTGAAAAACAATGACATTAAGTAATTTTATACAGTGTCATTTGAACTTTGGCCTTCAGACATGAGAAAATATCACATTCCTCAATATTAAATTCACATTTCTGTAACTCATAGTCACTATTTTTTTCTCTGTCAGGCATGCTATACAGACATACTTACATTGCTGTACATCTGATGTAAAACATCTTTGATATTTCCTACTGACAGATCTGTGTTCATGATGAACTTTAACCCACTTGGTGTCTCATAAAAATGAAGCTTATACTGACTTGTTCTGAAATTGAGAAACCCATCTTTTCTGACAAAAGGTTAAGGATTGACGAAAACAGTGTTGGATTTCTCAGACACCACTGCCTGACTTTTAGGATAATGAAAGCAAGTTCTGAAAAAGAAACACAAAGTAGGGCTGATGAGCTTCTGTGCCATTCATCAATTTTAAAATGTTCAAGAGCAGCAGCATGGATATTATCATATATTTGGACAGGAGCATAAATTCTTTGAGGGAAATGTTAATGAATCATTCAACTCCCTTCATGAGGACAAAAGGTTGAGGCCAACATGCGAGAAAATAGAATATGAATTTTTGGGGGTTTTTTTTAATCCTTTTCCATATGAATCAAAACAAAATGTCTTGAGCATTCTTGTGTGAAGAGGGGCTCCAATTAAAAGGGAAAAAAAATTTGACTCTTCAGGATAGAAAAGAAGGGTTCTATACAAAAGTAAATCATTTTTCTCAAATATCTTAAGTGCCAAAAATCACTAGAAAGCGTTATCAATCACAACAGAACCAGGGTAGGTTTCATCATCTTTGTTTTTGTGACAACTTTTGCCCCTGAATGGACTCCTTCAGGACAAAATTACAAAGCGCTCTTATCCCTAACTTACAAAAATTCTATAATGAGCTTGACTAGACTTTTTTCCTACTTTTGGAATTTCCCTTGAGCTGAACAAGTAGATTAATGGGCAGATGAAGAACTCGGGTTCCCTGGCTGGTGAACTGGTTTAGATTCCTTGATATTTTTTTTCCTTACCAGTGCCTATACATACCTGAAGTAACTGATGGACTACTTGTATAAACTTGCATAAAAAGTTTATTGGTGACACATCAGTTCTCCAAGTCATCAACTTCTGTGATCAAATGTCACTTTCTATTCATCACTGAAAATTGTAAGTTACATTGTTCTAGATGAACAATTAATCACTATACCCCTTTTATCTGTCTTCATTTTAAGGGATAACCTACTTTTATACTTGCATGCAGTGACCTGAAGTCAAACCTCAGAAAAGGATACAAATCTGTTGGTGATATTCTATTCACAAAGGACTTGATAGAATGTATCATTCCATACATCAGTTTGTACTCCTGAAATGGTAAAAAGTACTCAAGTAAAACAATAAATTATTAAGAACTAGATTAATGTAAAATACCAAGAATCATTTTATGCACTTCATATCTTTGATAGAGAATCTCCATTTACCAAAAAATCACTTTCAGCTATACTCATTAATTTTTTTTCAAATTTAATGCAGCAAAGACTGAAAAAGCAAATATACATTGTCATTTAATATGATCCAAACTATTGCTCAAGATTGAGTCTGTCATTAATGTCTTACAAAGATATCGTAATTATGATATTATGAAATGTCAATCTTTGATGTGAAAACATTTCGTTTTTCGAAATAGTCAATTGTCTTATGGCTAGGCTAAGCATATTAAAGTAGGATCGGTCAGAGTGGCATGTTTAATAGAATATCGAAAAGTATAAAATGGAACGAGAAAATTCAAGTTTAATTAGCATAACATACAACTGGCTCCCACTCATTTTCTACAAATTTTGGATTATTTATTATCATATTGTAATGTCTCTGTGCCTGTGGATAAACCAAGCCAAACAAATTAGAAATTCGGAAGATAAATTAAGTCACATCAGTAATAGAAACGTGTAAATACACCTCTTCTTTATCCATCCCTGATTGTTTCCTTCGGTTCCACTCTGCGTAATGTAGGCATGTGCCATTTCTATCAAAAATATAGAAGTTATAGACTGTCATTCTGCTTTAAGGTGGACACCGGAAATGCCTAACAACACATTTTGAATCTTAATGAACTACGCACTATTTTTCAGAAAAAAAGGAGAATGAATAGATTTGTAAATAATCCTAGTGATGTAATAATGACAAGACGTCTTAATGAGACGTGATATTGTTAGTTTATTCAGCTTTTGTTTTTATTCCCTTCTTTCTTCTTCAATTACAACGCGCATTTATATAAATCAGTACAGGAAGTGAATGTTTTCTTGATTTCACTGCACATGCGTGTGAGTATGCGGTTAGTTTTGAAGCGTGATATTACTATGTTTACACATTTTAGTGTTGATTTATATTACTTGTTTTCTAATGGAGATAAAATAAACAGGTAAAGATTTATTCACTAGACAGAGTAGTTTCTGAGCGCTACATCGGCATTACTGATGATGAACATGACGTGTATCAATGAAAAAGTAACATTGCAGATAAACTCTAAATGTAATTACAAGTCGATGCACGAATTCATACATGATCAGAGATCTATCAGTGTCGTTAGATCTTGTATACAGTGTTTTATTAGTTTTATAAACTAAACACCCTTTGCGTACATTTCGAATCAGATATTTTATATTGAATAACCGAGGACATATTCATTTAAATACAATTTTGTTACCAAATGCATGCAGACTTAATAAGTATAAAATTTATATTACAGGCTAATGTAGCATCAATGGAGGTTCTGCGATAGGTCCATCACTGCAGATGCGAAACACTTTCAAATTAGAAGAATGGAAGAGTTCAATGACAGTTTAAATGGGACCGATGGTATCCCTCAAGAGCCAATAAGGTTTGAAGGACCAGCAAGTTCAGGCCCAGGTCACTTTGAAGGAGAAGGGGCTCAGGAGGATGATCAGAGGGATTTTGTCATGATATCAGACTCTCATGTTAATAATGTGCAAGATTCACAACAACAATGTTTTAACATGGATGTTAATAGAGAACATGGAATGGTACGTCCTGAACAACTTCCAGGAAACTATAACTATATGAACAGATTACAAAATACTGCTGATATAAGCAGAGATACTGTATCAGATTTTGGTAACATGGATGCTTATAGGAGGTCTGGACCAGAAGGAAGTCCAGCATTTCAACAAAGTGGTGGTTTTCTGCCAAGCATTGGAAGTGATAATGAATCCAGTGTAATATTTAGGCCTGTTAGACAACTAGATTTCTCTGCTCTGGATGAAACTGCACAGACAGAGGAGATGATCCCCCATGGAATGAATCGTTCAGTGTCAACTCCTGAGCATGAGGTTAGGGGCATGTCATATCTCGAGAGAGAAGTATGTGGTTCTCAGGCAGATGATGAAAATACACGGGAAACCTCACCAGAAACAGGATTCTTTGAACTTAAATCTTCTCCACTTCATACAAGTGAAAGTGAAGGAGAATTAGACAGTCGTGTGATATTTTCACCACTAAACAATGGTGGGATGGCCAATATGTATAATAATTCAATGGCGTTTGAACCAAATTTAAATCAGGGAGATGTTGTTCATCAGAAAAATCCCCAGACTTTAGAAATGGTGGCGAGGTCTCAATATTCCCCACCTAGTCGTCCTTTTGACAATGAAGGTTCACCTCGGTCACATTATCAGATGTCTCCTATTACAGGTCATCCTGTAGGGAAACGATCAGTGCTGGTTAATATACCTAATGATTCAGGATACGAAAGAACAGAGCAAATCTCGCCAAACAATAAAATTCCAGAAACTGTTCTGAAATCTCAGTCTCCAGGGCTTCGATGTGTTGATGATTTGAATATCCAAAATACATCTCAATCACAATCTCCCCAAACACAAGTATTCTCAAGTAGTTTACCTCCAAGATTACAGAATGCACAAAGATCTCCAGTCAGAAACCAATGTCAGATGACAAGTGGCATTGGCTCCCCACAATCCATGAGTAGAAAAATGCAGAGTGACAAAAATGTTGAAAACTCTCCTCATGAGCTACACCCTACTGGAAAACCAAGATCAGATTCACTTCAAGGTCACAATCAAAGGTCAGAACTTCCTCTTAGTGATACAGCTGAACCCTCACAGAGACTGCCATCACCATCAGCTTGGAAAATTCCGGGTGAGCAGACAAAGCAAACCAGAAATTTGTTTAAAGAACCAAAAATGACTGCTCCAAAGCGTACAGGTAATGCTCAGATACAGAATAATAAAAGACCAACTATGCCAGCTAAGAACTCCCAGCGAGAGGTTATACATCCTGTGCAAAAATCCAGACAAGAACAGGCAAAACAGGATACATCTGGTATAAGGGTCAAAGGTCAAAATTCTGAGTTGAGGCACGGTAATAGTGTAGGAAAAAGGCCTAGCCAAGTAGCTGGCCCTCCTGTACAGCAACAGAGAGGTGGTCCCCACTCTCAGCCCGTAGGAGAAGATGTTGCCAGAAAAGGAGTTTCGACGGACAGGAAGGGAAACGTGACGCAAAGGTCAACAGTGACAGCCGGGAAAAAAATGGACAGGTCTCAACAGAATTATCCATCTGATTATGAAAGAAAAGTGGAAGGCAGTTTGCACAGAAATAGATCAGAAAGGTCGAGAACAATTGGTCAAGTGTCTTCATCAAGTGACAGGGGGGCAGGGATAGGGGAGGACTCGAACTCTCCTCATGCTGGTGTGCACCATCCAGGGATAAATGTGGTCACACAGGTCCAGCAGTACAGTCGAAATCCAAGGCCAGATGAGTTTGGTCAGCGTGTGGTCGGAAAAGAGGTAACAGGATCTGTTTAAATGAGTGTATTAGTTATAGGTGAGAGTGTGGAGTAGATATTTATACTGCTTGTGTAAGGTTTTGGGGTCATTAATTATAATTGGTATTGGTTGACATCTTTATATCCTAATAACCAAGCATGGTTTTGGCATCAGTTACCATCTGTCAATTACTCTGTGGTACTAAATATCAGAAAATTTATTGTAATTTGTTGTGCTTCCAGCAACTGATTCCTCACAGTAATATGGATGTCCATGGAGGAGATTCAAGTGTGGACGTTCAGGGGATGGAAAATGTCCGCAGTCAGCTTCAGAGTATGCTCAAACTGTCCTCAGACACTTTCAATGGTAAGTGCTTCAAGGCACCAAGTTTAGTATATGCCTTCAAAGAAGAGAAATAACTCTCATTAACAAAACTGATTGTACATCAAAAACCCTTCTAGAACAGTGGTGTGTATCGCCAGTAATTACATTTAATAAAACATCGAATTGTATGGGACATAGATATATGGGTGGGGAGTCCTGGATTTCTGCTTTTTCTGTGAGACTTGCCCCTTTTTTTTTGTGAAATCATAGCATAGGAATTTGTAATAAAAATGATTTTCTAGCAACAATGTCCTTGAATTGCATGAAAAAATCATAAAAAAATGCACTAGCAATTGACACATAGTTCACATGTTGTTTTAGAATATAAAAGTTACTCATTCCAAGAGTCATGAAGTTGTGATAGTTTTGGAGCTTTCATCAGGATCAGAAGCTGCACCATTATTTTGTGACTTGGGCGTGCTGCTTATATACCAGTGCTGCCTGTATACCAGTGCTGCCTGTATACCAGTGCTGCCTATATACCAGTGCTGCCTGTATGTGGGCGAAAATAAAAAATGTACCAGTACACCACTTTCACTTTTACTTTGAAGTCATAGCGGAAGTTTGCAATAGCCTTTAGCATCATGGGATTGATAGGTCATTGGGGTATAGGTCGAATTCTCAAACAACCGCCATGCTTGTTTACGATATGGATGGCTTTGTGTGACTTACTAGAAGAAATAGCATGGGACTATAAGAATTAACAGGACAGACACCAGCGGAGAGATATTTTAGTAATTTATACGTAATGTCAGGCACTATATCTGTGCATAGACAATCTGTGAAGGCACCCAAGCCAAACAAGTTCGATATTTGCTCTTTCATGTTTTTTGAAACACATCAATAAAATTCATTTGCAAACTTGATTAAATGTTTCACTAACAATCTTGATAAACAGTTACCACTTTGTAAGAAAGAGTGTGGCTTATATATGGATCAAATAAAAAATCAGTAAAAATCAGCTCTTTGGCTTTTTACCAATGTGGCTTATAATCCAGAAAAAACAGTAAGCATTGTGAAATTTGTGAAATCAAAGAGAGCTAGGAGGCAATTCTTGAAGGCAGGAAGTTGTGAACTTGTGCATGTTTTCTTGTAACTTATTGTGAAGTTTTCCTCATATACCCCATGTTATACGCAATGATACAAACACTATGATGTATCTACTAATTTTATGTTCTGATGGCTCCTAGAAACACAGCAGTACAACCATGTGGATTCAGTAAGTGGACTTTTGATGGACATGCCTCAGGACCCTTACCTTTATCAGGCACCACTTGACCAGTCAGTATCAAGGTAAGCACAAGATGCAGTCTGTTTGACCAGTCATTATACAGGTACCGGTAAATGGAACTGCTTCAGACCCTTGTCATTACCACTTGAAGAGTCCATATCTTGGTACCTGACATTTCTCCATGTCCGTCCCGTCCCGTCCCGTTGCATCCCGTCCCAAATCAGTATATACCACCTAACAACTTCATTCGGACCTTTCACTATTATTTCACATTGGGGGGGGGGGGGGGGGGGGGGGCATTCATGTCTTACAGACATTTTCTAGTTTTTTTGTTTTTTTTTTCGTTTCGTTCGAATAGTGACGGTCTTGCTCTTGGTCAGGGCTATAATAATGTCTGAATTTCTGCCTCATTTTGATGATGTATATGTGGAATTCAGTGAGTCCGGAAGTTTTTGGGCGATTGTCGTTCTGTTCATAAATCGGACAGCCCATCCCACTGATGCCCAATGTTGGTGACCCCATGACCTCTCTTGATCTGCATGGCCTGCACGCGCAGTCTTGTTGTACTGTGAGCGATGCCGGCATCTCGGCGATCGCATAGGGTTGAACAGCTATCTCCAATCTCTATGTGTTTCGCTGTCGCACCTATGTCAGCTCTTCTGGTCAGTGGTTGGGGCTTTAGACCGTCTTTTTTTTCTTCCCTGCCTTGATATTTCACTCTGGAATGTCGAAGTGGCAACCGGCGGCACGAAACTTAAGTCTCTTGGCGTAGTCAATGGCGTTCGCTGTTTCCCCATGTCGAAGTCGGTATAAACAATCTATAATTGTACCTTCGGATACCGCGGTTGGTACAGATATGGGGACAAGGTAGGATTGAAACTTTTCAGACAGTTAAAACAACATCGTTTTCTGAGCAATAGTACGTGTTCAGCCGAAGCCGGGTGTGATCAATCTGCTCATACTCAACGTGTTTGTTACCTGTTAAGAACCGTTAAATATCCAATTAGCCAAGCCTTTCATGCTTGTTAAGTCAAGCACCGGTGTGAATTTGTTTACATAAGGTAATTAAATATGTTAGGGTCAGGATGATTATGGTTTCCTAATTATCAATGGATCAAACCACAACTGTTTCATCGCAGTAACCAGTAATCAATTAATCTTTCTGTAGAATTTTTTTTTTTTTAAACCAAAAAAGTACCTGCGCACTATACCCGCAAATTTACGGTAAGTAGTAACAAAGAGACAATTGTGACATAGAACCAAATGAAGAGTGCTTAAAGATCACGTGACATTTCTAATCTGTTATTTACAGAGGTAAAGAGGATGCATCAGAGCTGTGTGAGAACTTCCCAAGTTTCACATCTCGTATTTGGTCAGACACTTCCAATGTTTCTCGTAGTGATAACTCATTACACCAGGAGAACCAGCGTCTTAGAGATATGTTGGAGAAGGAACGGTATCGCAGGAAGGTACAAACACTTATATCAAATCTAGTTTAAAATGGGTATCTTGTCCAAGTTGCCATTTCCTATATGAATTATTAAAATTGGTCACGAAAATTGTTGTGGTCATCACAGAGTTTTTACGTAGCTTAAGTTAGCTTTTGCTGTGGAGCTTCATCCGCCATCGGTAAACTTCTCTGCTAATTTTGGTGGAAAATCCAGTTAATTATCAGTGGTATGAACAATTTCTATAATGTTTTAAGTGAAAATGAAATTCAAGATGGCCGCCTTTACCTTCCTCATTAGAATCTAATTGGAACTAATAATTTAAATACTATTTGAATAATGAGATTGCTGAAATGTTGTATGAATGATAAGAAGAATTATGGGTAAATTTTGCTGATTTAAGGTTCAGCTGGAGTAAAATATGGCTACCACAGTCATTATTAGGAGATGAGTCATGAAAAATTACAGTTCTGTTTGTGGTTAAGACATTTCAAATTATATCTTTTCATTGTAGCATTGTGAGCAGCATATTCAGAAACTCAACGTCAAAGTAAGTATGTTGTTTAAGCAGCAGTTACAGGATCCATTCCTTTTCATGTGAGAACATAGACGGTGGTTTTAACACCACATGTGACAGAGAATGTCACTCCATATTATATATATTGTCACCTTGTGATGTTACAAATCCTCAATGGTTTTCTTCCAACTTTAGATGTTACCAAGACCTGTAAAAATAATGTTGTCCTACCAAATTTGATTCCATGTATCTTTAGAGTAATAAGCCTTATCTGACAATTTTTAGCCTACAGCCCGAAAGGGTCTGGGGTATTGCGATCACGCAAGGCATCCGTCCGTCTGTCTGTACGTCCATCCGTCTACACTTGCATACCGCTTATTGTCTCAAAAACTTCATCACCGGTCATCACCATTTTGACTGGGGATGTTGGGCCTATGGACCTACACAACCCATTCTTGAGATAACTTTCCACTCACCCCAACCACACATTTCCAACTTTATGATAAGGCTGTGGGGTATTGCCCGTGTTTGCGGAGCTATTTTTATAAGTTGTCGTCACAAAGCCTATATATAGATCAGAATTTATCTATTATAGCTGCTAGAGACCCAACAACAAGTTGCTGTTGCAGTTTCCACAGACAAACGCAAGGACATCATGATCGAACAACTTGACAAGGTAGGTGGCTATTTTGTTTGCATTCTATTGGTGACGACAAGTAAACAGTAAATGAACTGTTCGCTAGTGTGTGTATGAAGTATAAAGGCATTAGCTTGAGAAGGGGATCACCTCCAAATTGGAACATTTTGTGGAACTAATTGGCAATGGGTGATGGAGCAAGTACACCTAAACATAGTATTATATCAAAGATGCCTAGGGCATTCCCCTTTAAGATGGTTATTGTGACGTGAGATCTCACTAGTGTATTTCTAGTGTTGTACTGCTAGCGTTCTCTATACACAAGATCTCACTGATATTTCTACAGTTGTATAAGTATCATTCTCTAGACACAAGATCTCACTGATGATATATCTACAGTTGTACTGGTATCATTCTCTATACACAAGATCTCACTGATGATATATCTACAGTTGTATAAGTATCATTCTCTAGACACAAGATCTCACTGATGATATATCTACAGTTGTACTGGTATCATTCTCTAGACACAAGATCTCACTGATGATATATCTACAGTTGTATAAGTATCATTCTCTAGACACAAGATCTCACTGATGATATATCTACAGTTGTACTGGTATCATTCTCTAGACACAAGATCTCACTGATGATATATCTACAGTTGTATAAGTATCATTCTCTAGACACAAGATCTCACTGATGATATATCTACAGTTGTACTGGTATCATTCTCTAGACACAAGATCTCACTGATGATATATCTACAGTTGTACTGGTATCATTCTCTATACACAAGATCTCACTGATGATATATCTACAGTTGTATAAGTATCATTCTCTAGACACAAGATCTCACTGATGATATATCTACAGTTGTACTGGTATCATTCTCTAGACACAAGATCTCACTGATGATATATCTACAGTTGTATAAGTATCATTCTCTAGACACAAGATCTCACTGATGATATATCTACAGTTGTACTGGTATCATTCTCTATACACAAGATCTCACTGATGATATATCTACAGTTGTACTGGTATCATTCTCTAGACACAAGATCTCACTGGTGATATATCTACAGTTGTACTAGTATCGGTCTCTGAATATAAACAGATGGGAACCAAATTTTCTGCTGTTACAGTACAGTATTACAATATGTAATGCATAAATAGCAAATCCAGTAAAAGTTAGAATTTTTAATTTGTACGATTTTGAAATCAGAGGTGAGGTGGTTAAAAGTTCAAATAAATTTTTCAGCAATTAGCCAAAGTTGTGGAAGGATGGAAAAAACGAGATGATGACAAAGAAGAATACATCAAACAAATTGAAAGAGAGAAAACACACCTGGAGGAAAATCTATCTAAACAGCAGAGTGTATGTATTTAGCCGGCTGATTAAACTGGTTGTCTCAGGGATTCTGTTCTGGCGCAATATCTTAAAACTGCTCCACAAATACACATGACCAATACCTCAAACACCTGTAGATCTTACCCGTGTCCAGACTTTTGATGGAGTAACAGTCCTTTTCTCCACCTTATAGACGGCTGATGTAATTTTAAGAATATCAATTCTTCAGCTACTTAGCAGGTTTTAACAAAAAATTGATATGCACAATTGGATCTTAATGTTCTTTTCCGTGATTAAAATTTAGTTTTTTTGTCATTAGAGTCCTTACTGACTTCCGGAGTGACACAGATGATATTCATGTATAAAAGTCTGTGTATGAAAGAAATTTTATTGTGAGTATACATTTTGGATTTGTTTTTAATTTAGATTACCGCAAACTTTGAACAAGATATGTCACGGGCAGTAAATGAGATTCGATTGGAGAAGGAAGATGCTATTTTGACTGTTCAAAAGTTGAGAACAGAGGTGAGTGTCCTTCTGTTATGTGTTGTTGTGTTCAAAATGTCAATCACTGAAACTTCTCCTCTGTATTCCAGCCTTCCTATCTGCTACTTGTATAGGTTTATACTCAGTTACTGCATGTATTGTATTGCTCACTTAATTGGCTTTTGTACCTTTGTAAAATGTTGTTCTTAGGATGGCCATCTTGTTCTCCTGTACACTGTATATGTATGAATAACGCCTCTTTGTTGACTTAGTACTTTTCAGTCTGATGTGACCTATAATTGTCAAAGTGTTGGTAGCTAACCTTATAATCCAAGCTCATGTGCCAAGGATGGGAATTGGTTCACAAGCCATGATCACTTTGTTAAATTAGGGAAAAAAAGAACACCAAAAAAAAAAAAAAAACCAAAATGAGGTGACTTGCCCATTCTGAGACAGCAGTGATTTTGACAGCTATTCATTGCAATGAAGAATCTGTATTAGTTCAAATATATCTGATATGATAGTTTTAGCAGATTGATTTTTGAGCATTAAGTATTTCTAAGATGAAATTTAGAGTTTGTATTTTTGTATGAAAACAAGTAATTTCTTCATTCACAATAAGACCTAGATGTGAACATTTTTTCTTTATTTCACCAATCCGCTTAACTTCTAAACCTTAAATATTAGTGTATGTTGTCTGTTGATTAATCTCACTACCATCAGACTTAAGTGAAATATGTTTCACAATCAGTAATTGTGGAGGTTCCTTTACTCTCTTAAATTGATGTAATGAAATTAGATTATATGTAAGTTTTTTGTCAGATTTCTGACACATTTTGAACAATTTGCAGTTAGACTTTGCATTAAGCTTCATTTACAGCAGGTGGAACAAGGAGTAGTATATTTCATCAATACCTTCTGTGTTTAAGAGGATGAGAAATTTTAGATCCTCTATACACTGCTTTGTATATTTTTCAACATCTGTCTCCCCTATCAATGTTAACAGTAAGTAAAACTCAGATATCATCAGTCAGAATCTGTTCTGAATACGTAACTTTGATTGTAGGCTGAGGATCATGAGCGAACTCGCTTGCACCTTGAAGATGTAATTAAATCAGAACGAGAAAGGACAGAACTCATGGAACAAGAATGGCAGAAAGTACGGGAAAATCGTGAACTTAATGAGATGAAAGTGCAACAGTTGCAGGATAGATTACATAAGGTATGTTGTGTATAAATGGAAATGTAATGGTAATCAGGGATGGTGCTCAAAGCATCAGATTTTAGGTCAAGACTTGTGTGAAACTAGTTAGGCCAGGCTAACAGGTCTCTAAATAAACATGTTTTTGTCTGATATGGAATTGCAGTTAATGCACACAATGCAAATGCAGTTTTCCATCAAGATTTGAAAATGTTTCAGACAGCAATAGAAGTCGGTCTTGAATGTTTTACATGGAAAAGTCCTGTAAATGAGTTTCCCAAGACAAAGAAACAGGTGTTTTAATAATTGAAATACTAGTGCCTCACATCCCGTTATAGGTAATTCTATGAGTCACATTTGTGGAAGACATTGATTACTTTTTTTTTTATATATATATCTCAGATTTCAATGTATTAAAATCTCAAGGCAGATAAACTGTTAAGGTGGTTTTATTTAACTTCTTCTTCATGCTCTGATGCTCATGATGTAGAACCTTAGTGGCTGCGTCTTCAAAATTATACAATTTCTGGTTTTGTTAATTAGGAGCAGGATGAATGGTTTAAGCGTGAACAAGAGCTGCTGCAACGTGTGGAGGAAGTGACAGAGAAAAACATCAAGATTGTTCAACAGGAACGGGTAAGTAGAATATGACAGGTGTTCTTGGATAATTGGTGATCAGTGTTTATGCTTGGTTTGTTGAGTCAACTTAAAACACAGAACTGCTGAGACCATTATCAGACAATATTGTAACCATAATTAAGCTCTCCTATGACTCTCCGTATATACCTGTACAAGTACTGTAAAATTATATATTTTCAGGATTTAAAAAAAAAATTCATAGACACAGTATTTTGCGGATAGATAAAGCTCAATAGATCTACTTATTAGTACACAAAGTTCACAAGTTTGTTGTCATATAAATTTGTGGATTGAGAGTACCCACAACATCAATGACATAAAACACCCAGGAATATTGATAATTTACAGTAGCTGATTGTCATTAGGAATTTTCACATCCACCTTTCTGCAGATAAGATATCACAGCTGTAAGAGATGCTTCATCAATTTGCAGCAAAGGCCATAACTTATATCGATAGAAAAAATATTTCATTGTGTCATTGGATCTATTTCACAATGTCATCTGTGGTTAGATAATATGGTTTAGGTATTCAATCAGCCAATCTACCATAGGTCAAGGTCAGCATTAGAAAAATTGTGGGTATCATTGGTAATAAAAAATTCTGTCATGTCAGTTCTATGTCTTCAGATGTAGTTAGAAATTTCCCATCAAGACAAATTGATGTCCACATGCAGAAATGACATGCATGTAGTAAGAGTGATTCATATGTAAGCATCATCACATGAAAATACCATATCAGTTGATGAAGTCAGCAATAAATTTATTTGGTTCACAGACAAAGAATGCTGAACTAGAGCATGAGGTAAAGGAATTAGAGGAGAAGAGACAGAAATCACAGACAGACATCAAGCGTCTGGAGATGGACATAGATGTTGTATCAAGGGAAAAGGTTTGTGACAGGACTTCTGTCTGAGTTACAATGTTTTTGTTGATACAAGGCTTTCAGTCAAAGTATGTGGTTTGTGACAGGACTTCTGTCTGAGTTACAAATGTTTTTGTTGATACAAGACTTTCAGTCTAAGATTGTGTGATAACTGGTTGGCTGAACTGATGTTGGATTGTAATAACTGGTTGGCTGAACTGATGTTGGATTGTAATAACTGGTTGGCTTTTGTCAATAACTGTTATTGTCCTGTCAAAGTTATTGTCCTGTCATGTAGACAGTTTTTTGTAATTCCACAACATATTGTTCAAAACATTATCAAGATTTTATCGTATTACATCAGAAATGTAATGACAGGTAGGAGTTCATAATTGTACCCCACTATGTATATGAGCAGCTAACATATGTATATTGTAATTACAGGAGAGTCTGAAAGTGGAGATGGGAATCATGGAGGACAAGTACGAGACATCACAAAGAGCACTTGAGGCAGAACTACACTCACAGATGCAGAAAGAGGTATTTCATACTCATTGTGTCTCCAGTAAAATTAATCAACGCAATTTAGAAAATGTGTGTTTTGTTTGATAAGAAATGACATCACTTATAATATAAATTAAGACCCAAGATTAACTACCAGGAGTAAAACTATGAACTAAAACCCAAGCTTAACTCTGTCTATAAATCTGCCAAATTTGGAATTAGAGGCATGATATAATTCTTTAACCTAAACTGATTGATAGCTTTTCCAGTAAAATGTTTTTACATCTGAACACTACTCTGACACTAAATTGAAACTTTCATAAAAGCAATGAACAGGAAATCTGACAAAAGACAAAGGTGATTATTTTGGAGTCTTGGTGTCAGATAGTGAATTTCTGTGAGAACAAATGCACTATAGAATTGGGTACCCTGTGTGGTATGTTTCGGACAAGGTCAGGCAATAGTGTAGGGATAAACCTGTCTTAAATTGACCATGACTTTTGTCCGGACAGATAGCATCTCAGATTGCGGATGTCCACAAGCGTATGGAGGAAGAGGAGGAGACATTGAGAGAGAACCATCGCCACCAGGTTATGGAGCTGGGACAGAGACACAAACGTGAGATGGAGAAACAACTTGCTCGCTACCATGATGATCTCAAAAACCGTGAGGATGAGAGCAGAAAACTTTACCAGGAATATGAACAAAAGTAATTTTTACTTGGCACGACTTTACTTTTACACTTTGGTTTGTCTGTACTTATCATATGATGCTTTTCTGATGTGAAATAGTGTCTTACAAGCTACTTTCTTAACCAGTTCTAAAACAAAGTGTTAAAGTTTCTATTGAATTGCATTTTCAAAGAATAGAGGTGCCCATCAGCTACCTCAGCATATGTGTTTCTAAGTTTTGACATGGTGTTGACATTCTTTGACATGAGTTGAAATGAGATTCTTTGGTTTGGAAACTGGTATTTAATCTTCCTTTCAGAACAAGAAAAGGACAAGAACTTATATCTTGTTGCAGAATTATTTTCAACTTTCCTTTATTTCTTCACTTGCGAACTGTGTTTTAAATGACACTATTGTTCTTCAAGAGCTTTGATGGTACAAGGATTAACCTGGCAAATTTAATAGTAATGCTATTTAGTAACAATATCCAGTGCCGAGACAATTTAACTGAGTAGTGTTAAGAACTATGTGTAAAGTTACTTGTTTATTTTCTGTAGACTCCATGATAGCAGAACAGAAATAACTTCACTACAGTCAACAAAACAGAAACTTGAGTCACAGAGGTGAGAACACGTCAAATCTATTACCATGGTTAATTTAAGTTACAGTAGTGTTGGCAGGTACCAGTGACTATGAGGAAGCATTAGTTCTTCTCATTTGTAACTACATTTTGTGGTTTAGCATAAAAGTTGTGTCTCTTCAATGTTCATGGATCCTGATGCAAGAGAATTTAATCTTCCACTTATAATTGATGATGTAATAGATTTGTTCAGAAATGTAAAAAGAAGGAAGAAAAAGCAGAGAAAAGAATGGATGTTGTATGTACTTTGGGTAAGTTGTTTGTATCTGATATGTTGAGCAGGAGTGAGATCCTTACAAAGCTACAGTACATGATGCAGTCACAGTGGAATGAGGCCGTATCACTGCTGTCTGGCTCCCCAAATAAAAAGGTAAGTTACTTATATTACTGTACCACAGTGGAATGAGGCCGTATCACTGCTGTCTGGCTCCCCAAATAAAAAGGTAAGTTACTTATATTACTGTACCACAGTGGAATGAGGCCGTATCACTGCTGTCTGGCTCCCCAAATAAAAAGGTAAGTTACTTATATTACTGTAACACAGTAGAATGAGGCTGTATCACTGATGTCTGGCTCCCCAAATAAACAGGTAAGTTTTTTATGTATGACCTGGTATGATATTTAAACCTGGTACTGGATCACAAGGGTTGTTTGGTAATGTTCTGTTGTGGTTTGAAATATGTAGAATGCTTAATTAGACAAATATTTTTAGATATTTTATCAAAACTACGTTGTTTTTTTTTGCATTATCACACAAAACACATTTCAACTGCAAAATATAGAAAGATAAAATAACTCATATTACAGAGTACATCAATCAAAATGCTTTGAACTATGATTAAAAGATTGATAAATTACGAAGTACATTGTGTAAAAGGATGATTCATGTCCTCATTGCAGAAACCACCCCATCCAAACTCATCCTTTTTGTCAATGCCTGGCCGATCTGAAGATAATGTCCAGTCATATCACCAATCTGATGATCTACTGGTAAACAACCTGACCACAGACACAGCTGATCACAACCCTGTTGGAGTGTCTGAGAGTGGTCCCTTCAACCCAGAGCTCAGTCTGGCTGACTTCAGCACCTCGCTCCATATACAGCAGCTGCTACAGAGGTGAGCAACTCATTACATTTAGACTGGCTAGAACTACTAGCTCAGTTTATTGAGCTAAGCTCATTGTAAATATTGAACTGTAATATTAACACATTGCTGAAAAAGATGTTTTATATTATGAAATGTTTATATAACTTCAGTCATTGTAGTTCTGAACTCCTGCCACAGTACCTGTTTTAACTGTTTGTTTTATATCCTTACAGTCTGTCTCATCCAGGAGTGAGAGGAGCAGGCTCCTTTGAAGGAGTTAGTGGTTCAACTTATGACCAAAGCAGTAGCAAACCGGACATTTCACAAACAGTCAATACAGATAGAACTGCAAAGGTAGGAACAAGTCTTCAACAAACAACAGCATTAAACTCAGAGACATGCCAAATGTCAAGCAATCCACAGACAATGAATCAGGAGCTGTTCAGAAATCCAGACACTTCACAAACAATGGTAAATTCAGAGGACTATCAGTTATCAAATAGTGCCCAGTTGCCTTTCCAAAATACAGACAGATTTCATGTTCCGGATATGACTCAGAGGTCAGATTTATATAACAAGAGTGTTCATAACTGGCTGCATGAGGCCACTATCACCAGCCTGCAGCCCACATCTACAAACAGTTCTGATTGGTCAACTCAGCAAGCTAAAATGGCATTAGCAGCCAATCAGCATCAAAAACAGCATCAACAACAGCAGCCTCAACAACAACAACAGCAGCCTCAACAACAACAGCAACAGCAGCAGCAACCTCCACCTGTTGCTGTGCCTATCCGACCCCCCCAGCAACACAGTAGTGAGGCACAGCATTATGAGCAGACACCAGACAGCAGTATATCAGAGCATCCATCAGGTAAAAAACATTTATCAGCATTATGTTAATGGAATCCCCAAGTAGACTTTATTTACAGAAAAGGCAAATGTGTTACTTTGTACTAGATACATGACATTTCATGTAAGTGCTAAATACTGTGACATGTTGACTCAGCACACAAAAGAGGGTCTTTAATGTATAGACTGTTATTCTTCAGTTCACTCTCAGATGAATTTTATCTAAGGATTCAGATCTCAAAACACTGTTAACAATTTTGCTTAATTAGAACAGTTTTGAATTTAAAATAGAGATGTAAGTTTTTTTACTTATACATATGCCTGGGGAAAAAACACATCTAGGAAGTGAAGGAGAGACGTTATCAAGTAAATGTGATCCATTGTTTTTTTTTTCTGTGACAGATTGGTCTCAACCTGGCCACTCACCACCCACCAAATTGCAGGGTCACCATCGCATCAGGGAGGACCGTAACCTGTCGGATGGAGACCTGGCTACAGAAACTGCCAAGTGAGTGATGATTTCAGAATAAGTATGTGCTGAAAAATTTGTTACAATAGCCATAGTCTGAATAGGATTCTGAAACAGTCTTTTTCTTTCCTTTTCAAAACAATATCTTAACATGTTTCCTAAAACATATTGGCAACTAGTAAAGATGTTCTGTTTTCTGTATGCAAAAGTCAATATCTTTGACTCGAAAGTATCAATATGATTAGGAAAACTTCCATAGGGTATCATTGAAGAAATGTCTTAAAATAACACTTTCTCCTCCTTTCAGACTTGATGTGGACTACAGTCAGTTATCAGACAGATTAGAGGAGCATGAGTCTCGTCAGGGCCAGCTGCAGCATTATATACAAATGGTACAATAAATATCAACAGCAACAAGATAAATTAGCAGTGTTGTATACAAATGATACTATAATAAAATTCAGATTAGTAAGCAGTAATATAAATATTAGATTATAACAGTAAAATTATTTAAGTGCAGTACAAATAGTGGATTATAACTGTAAAATTAGTAGCGACATTTTGAGCCCACCTAGTCTGAAGGACCAGTAAGCATAAGCCATACTGCACCAATCGCTATTAGCCATGAATGACTGAGTGGATTTTGACAAAATTTGGCTAGAAGCATCCTTGGGTGGACAAGAAAAATGTGTATAAACTGTGTTTCCCTGCCTTCATGGTCTGTAGGGCAGGGCCCAATATGAGAAGTTTAGCAAATTCTTTCAAAACCCTACTCCTCCTGTAGGAATGAAAGGATTTTGCCTAGATTTTTTGAGTGAAAGGGAATTATTTTTGTATAAATGACGAGTCTTATCCTTCTGGGACAGAAAGGGTGGGGCCCAATAGAGGACAGAACAAATTATTGAAAAAAATACTTTCCCAGTAGGATTCTTTGGATCTTGTAGAAAGTTGGTCTGAAGTATTGTTGGATATGGGGAAATCAGTTTTTGTGTAAACAATAGATCTCAACACCCTGAGCAGGAGGGGCAGGACCCATTATAAGGATGATAAAACAAATTGTTTAAAATCCTTCTTCTGTAGGAATGACAGGATTCTGTCTCAATCTGGTCTCTATCATGATGGTTTTGCTGACCCCTCTGGGGACTGAGGGTTGGGGCACAATGGGAAACTAGATATGTTGTGTTGCAGTGTGCTTAAATATTTAGAATTAATTTTCCTTTAGTTTTAATAAAGCAATGTCAGCCAAGTAAAGCCAAGCAAGTTATACAGACCCAATGGGCCTCTTGTATAATTTACTGGATTAGTTATCAGCAAGTGGTAAAGTAACATTTATAGATGACAATTAAGTAATATGTCACATTCCTTATTTTGGGAATGTGTTTATAAAGACATGCCAAGTTCAGGTGTGTTAAGTCTTCTTAAAACAATTGAAACCACAAGTTTAGGTTTAACTGGCGATAATACTTCTATGTAATCTACATATGGTTGTTTATAATTTTATTATTATCATTTGGTTTAGCTTCTTCAGAAAACTCCTGGGGAGGCCAGTGAGGATGGAGACATTGACTATGGGAACAGTTCACAGTTATCACAAGACCAGACAGGTATAGTAAGACCAATTGTAAGGAAAGTGTTGGTTTTTGTTAAGTAACAATCCTTTCAATAAACAGTCTAGAATTTCTATCACCATACACTATTTCAAGATGAATGTCATACCTCCCTGTTGCAGAAGAACTAGACCTGAATGACACTGCACAAGCAGCACAGCTTCAGAGGGAGCTGACACGCATTCAACAGCTTCGTGATGGCAAGGTAATTCTATTGAGTGTATCAGGCTTATACAACGGCTTTAACATAAAAAGAAGTGCTAGGGAGGGTGCCAGATTTATACAACTGCTCACTACAAACAGGAACAACTTAGGATGGTGTCATGTAATATGCTTCATATCAGAGAGGAACTGCTTGTTAGGGTATTCTGCTTATTAAACACTAAGCACAGATAAAAATTACTGAGGAGTGCATTGCCAATATACAGTCTTGCCGTAGAGAAGTATGATAAGGGAGGTGGTCATGAAAATTAGATACGTCCTTCACAGACTGAAAAAAAAAGAAAGTCTTACAAAAATATAATGGCTGTCCTTCAGAAACATGATAGGAAGAGGGAGTTTAAGAGAGATATATAAATATACAGAGAATGGAGTTTTAGTAGATAAACATTTCAATTTATTTTTACAGGCTGCAAGTGTAGGGAACAGACAATCAATCACTACTCCAGGTGTGTATTATAATAGACATAACTTAACATTTTTTACCCATTCGCACAATGTAACATGTATCTTCTACCCCTGTTTTATAAACTTACTTTTTTAAAATCCAAGTGCAGTAATTCCAACAGATTTATTAAAGTTCTAATTTTCTTTTCACACAAACAGTGGGCAGTATCCCACATTTTTCAGGTATACTAACATCAATCCTTTCCTACTTTGGTTGCTTGGTAACATTTCTTTGTATCTAGGTAACTCATATGAAGGAGTGTTGAGTGCTGACCAGCTGGCAGAAATATCCAAGTTATTAGGTCAGCAGACTGCATTATTGGAACAACCTCAGGCCTCACAACAGGATATGGAACAAATCACAGAGTTGATGGAGGTTCTGAAGGGTTTGAATGTGAGGTAGGGATCATTTTCAAGCCTTTCAAATATGTAAGTGCGTACTGACATCACCTTGACAAATATATATGACTTCATATAAGTGGCACTAATGCATTTGAGATCTCAGTGTAAATGACTTTAGATGCCTAGTGTAAGTGATTTTAGATGCCTAATGTAAGTTGCTTTAGATATCTCTTGTGAATGACTTCAGACTCCTAATGTAGGTGACTTAAGATGCCTGATGTAAGTGACTTAAGATGCCTAATGTAAGTGACTTTAAATGCCAGAGGTAAGTGACTTTAGATGCCTAATATAAGTGACTTTAGATGCCTAATGTAAGTGACTTTAGATGCCTAATGTAAGTTCTTTTAGGTGCCTATTGTAAGTGACCCTAGATGCCTTATGTAAGTTGCTTTCGATACCTGTTGTGAGTAACTTTAGATGCCTAATGTAAGTTCTTTTAGGTGCCTATTGTAAGTGACCCTAGATGCCTTATGTAAGTTGCTTTCGATACCTGTTGTGAGTAACTTTAGATGCCTAATGTAAGTTGCTTTCGATACCTGTTGTGAGTGACTTTAGACGCCTAATGTAAGTTGCTTTAGATATCTCTTGTGAATGACTTCAGACTCCTAATGTAGGTGACTTAAGATGCCTGATGTAAGTGACTTAAGATGCCTAATGTAAGTGACTTTAAATGCCAGAGGTAAGTGACTTTAGATGCCTAATATAAGTGACTTTAGATGCCTAATGTAAGTGACTTTAGATGCCTAATGTAAGTTCTTTTAGGTGCCTATTGTAAGTGACCCTAGATGCCTTATGTAAGTTGCTTTCGATACCTGTTGTGAGTAACTTTAGATGCCTAATGTAAGTTCTTTTAGGTGCCTATTGTAAGTGACCCTAGATGCCTTATGTAAGTTGCTTTCGATACCTGTTGTGAGTAACTTTAGATGCCTAATGTAAGTTGCTTTCGATACCTGTTGTGAGTGACTTTAGACGCCTAATGTAAGTGTTTTTAGGCGCCTATTGTAAGTGACTCTAGATGCCTAATGTAAGTGACTTTAGGTACCTGTTGTGAGTGACTTTTAGGTACCTGTTGTGAGTAACTTTAGATGCCTAATGTAAGTTGCTTTCAATACCTGTTGTGAGTGACTTTAGATGCCTAATGTAAGTGTTTTTAGGTGCCTATTGTAAGTGACTCTAAATGCCTAATGTAAGTGACTTTAGGTACCTGTTGTGAGTGACTTTTAGGTACCTGTTGTGAGTAACTTTAGATGCCTAATGTAAGTTGCTTTCAATACCTGTTGTGAGTGACTTTAGATGCCTAATGTAAGTGTTTTTAGGTGCCTATTGTAAGTGACTCTAAATGCCTAATGTAAGTGACTTTAGGTACCTGTTGTGAGTGACTTTAGACGCCTAATGTAAGTGGGTTTAGATGCCTAATGTAAGTTTTTTAGATACCTGTTGTGAGTGACTTTAGATGCCTAATATAAGTGTCTTCAGATACCTATATATAAATTTGATGTGATTGACTATTACTTATGAAATCATTGGATCAGCATTTCTATACTGTCACCATCTAATTTGTTGTCAAGTTTGTCCTTCAATTGCAGCCAAAAGTTTATAAAAAAAACATATGATACCAAAGGTACTGATCTACATAATGACAACAGCTATAAAGTGACTACTGTGGCCCAATGGTTGACCGTGGTCTTAAATCTAAATGTACAGGACGTAGGAGAGTGATACAGTGTTTTTAGTTTGTCCAGTAGGAGATGTAATTATTCATCGTTTTGTGTGGTGTTAGTTTGACTGGACATGATATGACTTGACTGTCACAGAAATACATCTGTATACTTCACCCTAGAATGAATGCAGCTAGAACAGCAGGACTCAATCCCCTATTTAATCTAATACTAAAATTACTCTTTGAGTCTGTAATTACTTTTTGACTGTGATTTCTTTTTTCCTACAGGCAACCCACAAAACGTTTAGGACATCCACTACCTCCAAGGGGAGTGAAGAAAACCGGAGCAGCCAACAATATCTCACCACGTTCCCCACCACAAGTCAGTCACAAGGATGTGGCCAAGGTCAAACGTAATCTCAAGGTTGCGATGACAGGAGTATGTGTTGTAGTACATTTTACACCTTAATAGTGAAACTCAGATTCTGGAAATGATTTCTGATCTCGTGTTATATTTTTGGTACATGATTGGTCTCCACCCAGTCCTCAGATGGAGTATATTTTAGTGCTACACCAATCAGTTGTTTAGTTTGTGGAATCCTTTACAATATTTTAGATCCATTGATATGCCACTTTAAAACACCATCAGTTAATCCCCAAAATGAAGTCTGGGAACTTATTGATTTTACTCAAAGTCTTTTTATTTTTATTTATTTATTTTTAAAATTCTGGTTTTTGCCATAAGGAATTTCAACATTTTTCTCCAAAACTACAAGTCAGGTCTTCACCAAACTTGAAGGAATTAATAAAGGTGACTAGATGACCAAACAACTTCTGTAATCTGATATGGCAAGATGGCCACTCTTTCATGGCTCCTGTTTGGCTATTTTCTTTTCAGTGATAAATATTGTTCTATTCAGCACAACACTAAACCCATTATACTTCACATCCTCGATACTCCTGGGGGTTAGTCTATTTGCTCTCTGCACCCCTGGAACATGTCATGACAAAATTGAAGATTCCTTGTGCGACACCTTGTCGTTAGACAAAAAGAAAGTCTAGTTTGACCCTCTGATGTACATCAAAGGAATCTAGAGGTCACATCACAGTATGTTGTAATGGCTTTGAAGTTGGATGCTTCTCCTTTGTAATCTTTAAAAGGAGCTTATCAGCCAGTGATCAGTCAGTTTTTTTTTTTTCTCTGGGAACCAATAAAATTACTTCGCTTGTGCCTTCAGTTTTGTCATAACATTTTCTAGTAGTGCATAGAGTGACAGTGATCATAACCCCTGGATTATCAGGATGCATACTTCACTAAAAAACAATATTACAAGTCCTATCCATTACTGTAATCTAATTTATTGCAGATAGCTGAAGGACAGGGACAGACTGCTTCAAAAGCCTTACCAGGCTCGCAGGTAAAGAAACCTGAAAGGAAAGTGGCTCCCGTAGCAGCAGCTGGGGTCAGGCCAAGTCAAGGAAAGGTCAAATCAGCATGGAAATAGAATCTGTCGGATTGGTCAAAAGGAAAGTGGGAGGACACTATCTGATTGGTCAGAAAGAAAGTGGGAGGACACTATCTGATTGGTCAGAAAGAATGTGGGAGGACACTATCTGATTGGCCAGAAAGAATGTGGGAGGACACTATCTGATTGGTCAGAAAGGAAATTGGAGGATAGTATCTCATTGGTCAGAAAGAATGTGAGAGTATGGTGTGATAATGATTGACAGAAGTATGAAAATATTCAGACACTTTATAGTGGAGAGGAGAAATCAGACAGAGAACTCTGATGTACTGTGTCCAGACACTTTATAGTGTAAAGGAGAAATCAGACAGAGAACTCTGATATACTGTGTCCAGACACTTTATAGTGGAGAGGAGAAATCAGACAGAGAACTCTGATGTACTGTGTCCAGACACTTTATAATGTAGAGGAGAAATCAGACAGAGAACTCTGATGTACTGTGTCCAGACACTTTATAATGTAGAGGAGAAATCAGACAGAGAACTCTGATGTACTGTGTCCAGACACTTTATTGTGATGAGGAGAAATCAGACATAGGGCTCTGATGTACTGTGTCCAGACACTTTATAGTGAAGAGGAGAAATCAGATATAGGGCTCTGATGTACTGTGTCCAGACACTTTATAGTGTAGAGGAGAAATCAGACAGAGAACTCTGATGTACTGTGTTCTGTTCTTGGTAGTGTGATAATCAATAAATTTTACTAGTGTTTCAGTCACACTTGCTACATGGGTGGATGGGAGGGAGGGTGGGTTTGTGAGGATAGTGTTGCACAGTGAAAGCTCCCTTGATACAAGCTATAATATGGTTGTGTTTTACTTGTTAACTTATCTATTGTGACATTTCTGGTATGTCAAAATGGCACACACAATCACCAACAGTAGCAGCCAAGATTTCACGATGATATATAAAAAAAATTACCCAACAGTTTCTTTGGAACACATGTGATAAAAAGGATTATGAATTTGTGTGATTTTTATTTCAGATCGAGGAACTTTTCTATACATTTAAAGTTTTCAAGAAAGATGTTTGCACAGAAGATTTTGCATATCAGCTTACAAAATCAAAACGTCTCCAAATTTCATGTTGTTCATTTGATATTTCAGTATTTTAAAATTGTATGCCTATCGTTATTTATGAAATTAGACGTTAAGGATAATACATAGATCACATCAGACAAATGTACAGCTGTTTTACTGGCCAGTAACTGTATCGCATAGATTTCACTCTGTAATCATTGCTATATCCTCTGAAGGTTGAATGTTTGTTTGAAAGAGTGGATCTGGTGTGTAAATGTCGTAAATTGATTTCTTTGGCAACGTTCATTCAGTATAAGTCAACAAGACATTTATACAGTGTAATGATTCCCCACATGATGATGTATTTCAAGAGAAGTGAGCTGACTTTACTGTAAAGTTTTTGTGTAGAATATTGTATTTTGAGAAGTGTTACCTAGTATGATTTGTTACAGTTAAATAGAAGAATTCTAAACCAACTGAGTTTTTGTGAAGAACATTTTATATGAAGAAATGCTTCACTTACATGTGGACTTTTTTTTCCATTGGAAGCTTTAACACAGGTAGTAATTTTAATTGTTCTCTGAAAACTTGTTTTATCCAATTCATTTTAATAAATTAATTAAGTTTTATATATTCTTTAGGACCTAAGTATTAAAAGATCTGTTTGTGGCCTGTATATGTAATTCCTACAGGTCTGGATAAAGCTGAGTAATCCACATAATTAGTTTGGGCCCTTCCTTACATCTTTTCCCATTTATTTGATTGAATAAAAATATTATATCCATTATGAACATCCGAACATTTTGCTAGTTGGACGTTTTCCATCCCTTCACATGAGTTGCCTCTTTCTATGTGTGAAGCTCTTGCTGATGTATTTCGAAGGTTCTGTAACTGTTTCCCTAATTACTTTGTGCCAAGGGCAATAACTATGTCAAATATACCAATCAGGTCATCGATAAAACATGAATGTTCTGTGGTGTTTCATTTATCATTGTTATGCATATTTGTACTTGATGTTGTGTAAAAATCTTTACAATGCCCGTGAATTAAAGCTGATCATTCTCATGATTTAGGGAGACAATCCGGTAGTTACACCTGTCATCAATATTTTTGTATACCATTGTATCTGGCCTGGACTAGTGATTCAGACCTAGAAACTGGGATTTACAGGAGCAAGCTCTCAACTGAATGAGCTGCAGAAAAATTCAGCCCAGCCAAGTTTGCCATGTTTATTGAGTTAAAAAAAACCCTATGATTGAAATCCGCTATTGCTTTTCAGTGAAAACACCGATGAATGTTTCTTCCTTTTCTAGTAATAAGCGTGTCCCCCACACTGTTAGTTAGAGCTTGCATGTTGGCTTCCTAGGACTTACTGCTGTAAAAATATAGGATCCTACACAAGTTATTGATATGTGATTTATGAAACTATTTGTGACAAATTTTATCGGTCATCTATCCAAATGAAACAAACTTAAGATCCTTTTTATCACATGATGGATTATTCAGGCAAATTTTCTTGCTATTGTAGAATGTGGATATTTCCATGTCAAACATGAAGTTATTTTGGTGCTGAAGACATGATCTTCATTGTTATGTCACAATGGAGTCTGTGAGTTTGTGATGCCATATGTCATAACTTTAAGCATTTCTGCAATAGGAAGTTAAACATGAACTTGTAAAAATTGCGATGGTTTGGTTGATAAATCACTAGAGAACAAAGATTTTTTTTTTTACATTTTATGAAAAAATGTAATGCAATGGATACATTAGGTGAGTTTATATATGGATCTTAAGAAAATATCTATTCATATAACATTTTGTTTATTTATACACCTTATATACATCATAATTTATACCGTCCATTTTTATGAATAAAAATGTTCAGAAGATAAAATCTTGTTACCGATTCGTTTTTTCCCCTTTTGGAGAAGGGAGATAAATCTTTCATATATTTTTTCATGCACATTGGTTTATTTTATATACAGTTAAAACCCAAATGGATACCTTACTTTTATCGACTACATTGACCTGATGTAAAAGTAATTTTTGGCCAACAGCCATTAGATGGTAAGCTGTGTCCATAGTCCGTCTTGTACTTTATTTTCCCTCGCGTTTTGGAGTGCCTCAAAGCGACAGCACCGATAGACAATAATCGATTTCATTTTAATACCTGTTGATCAATGAGTTACTTCGGCAAATCAACACCAGATTAGCATCTCTCTCTCTCATTCCTTACAACCAATTGGAAATTAAAAAAAGTTAACTGGGCCTTGCCCGCTGTGATCACGCACTTGTTCATTTTAACCTGATTTATATTACTTCATAATGCTTTAACAAAATATATACATGTACCAATAAAAAGATTTTCTTTTGATAAATTTAAAAGTTTCATTTAGATATTTTACATGGTTCGAAAGTTATTACTCGAACGTGTGTACCACACAGAAATTAGTAATTTAACCTCTGACCTTGAAATAGAGGTCACAGTAACCTGATTTTAGTGCCACTGGTCATCCTTCTGTTTCAGAATAAACTGAAATTTCATCATCACACGTGCTTATACGTCTATGGCACTTGAATCACATACCAACTGAGAACATTGTATTTTATTTAGCAAAATAGATATAAATCGGGGACCTGAAGGGAAGAATATCACATCATTCCTTTGTAGACCGTTCCATTTATATATTTCTTCTTTCTTTTTAAATTCAGAATCTGAAATGACGACCGCAAGTTAATTTCCATACAGACTCAAAACTAGACATGGATAAGACTGCGGAGTCTTCTCACCTGGACCCTGCACATCCAATCGGCTACATGCCTGACCTCCGACTAGGGTCAAATATCTGCCAATCTCCACCTTACATGTAACTCCACCTCCCAGCACAAAAGAAATATAAATAAAACAAACACAGTTATTGGGAAATTAAACAAACAAGGGAAGATTTTATCATTTAAAAAGTTTGTGTTCTATTGAACGCACCTGTAGGTAAATTTCAAAATGCGGTGCGCTGAATTTTCTGTCAAATATGCATTAATGAATCAATGATGAAGTATTCTCCAATATAACCCATGTTGAATATCATATCATTTCCGACAGACGGTTGGTTTTGAACAGGTGCTGTTGGACCAACTCAAACTGCTCGCGTTGAATGCTTGCTCTTTGTGTTAGTAGGCATTTCGCCTGTTACTCGAATGTGGAGCACCAGGTTCATGTAGTCGATAAATGCGATATATCGTAGGTGTATAGAACATAGAATATAATCTGCCGTTTAGAGATACACTTTTGTCAGTTGACAAAACTCTATCCACTAAGGGTCCACACAAAAGAACAGATGACATGTTCTGGAGACGTGATGCTATTGGTTTATTGTAACGATGTCTGTCTGATAGATTGATAAACAGTTTAACTGTGAGGGAATGGGTGTTCATATCTGTAACAGGTTTTTAAAATTGCACAATGGATATCTGCTGCCAAGCGTCGGACTCGGTACGTATCAGCTTTTGGGAGAGAGTGTATGTGAAGTTGTGGACAAAGCGATATCCCTCGGATACCGACACATCGATACCGCTCATTCCTACAACAACGAGAGTGAAATCGGTGATGTACTTAAATCTCGTATCGAGTCGGGATCAATAACGAGGACCGATCTGTTTCTGACCACCAAAGTTCCTGATATATTGCATGAACCTAGCGATGTCTTGGAGGGTGTGGAGGAGTCCAGGGCCAAACTGAAAACGAAATACTTGGACCTGGTGTTGATTCATCACCCATGGACGATGAGAAAGAACGGACAACGAGACTTAAAGCCCATGGATTCGAAGGGAGAATTACAATTCGTTAAGTTTAATTTACAGAAAACGTGGCGGTCATTGGAAAATTGTGTTAAGGATGGTACGGTCAGATCTATTGGATTGTCAAATTTTACTATAGGACAGATACAAAATATACTTGACGGTTGTACTATAATGCCAGCAAATCTTCAGCTCGAGTGCCACGCCTATTTACAGCAGAAATCATTGCATGAATTTTGCAAAGCAAGGGACATAACTCTGACTGCCTACAGTCCACTGGGCGCACCAGGACGGCCAGAACACCATCGTTTCACCGACCAACCTGTTCTGTTGGATGACCCGATAGTAGACTCGATTTCACAGGCCCACAGGAAGACTAAAGCACAAATTCTTCTTGGATGGTTGGTTCAAAAAGGTTTCTGCGTCGTTCCAAAAACTAAAAGTGAAAAAAGATTGACGGAAAATTTGGAAATATTTAACACCAATTTAAGTAATTCAGAATTGGTAAAGCTTCAGGCATTGGACAGAGGTATCCGGTATTTCAAGTTCAAATACATGACAGGTCATCCCGAGTTTAAACCAGCAGAAGACTTTTGATGACTTGATGTTAATAAGTCGACATATGAAATATTTCTATAAGTTGTATGCAAATTAAATAACATATTCGGAATTCAAAATTTTTATACAAACGTTATTAAAGATCTGAATTTATCTTGTTCGTTATTTTGTTGTTTTTATTGCGCGAAGACTGATTATTATGACCGATAAATACCATTATCATCGACTGTAAATACAACGATAAAACCGGGCTATCTCTCGTATTGTAGGTGTACTGCATTACGTGGTCTGATTATATAATTATTCCTGTGTTCATTTCATCGTCTTTTTTCTTGGAAGTACTGGATGGACAATTTTCACATTCCATATGTTACTGCCCAATGGCTCCTAGTTGTGCATTGGTCGTTTTAGAACCATTGAAAAAAGATGGCCGACTGGCTGCCATTTTGGACTTGGGGAGTTAAAGTTTCAGGTCTTTAAGTTCTGCATGGATAATTGATATTTCACATGTAGGTTTCCCATGGCCCATTGTCCATTTTAGTTGTGATTGATGATGAAAAAAATATGGCCGACTGACAGCCATCTTGGATTCCGGTTACCGTTTATCACTGTTTCTTTAGTTTGATGCATATTAAATTCTGTGGTAGTTAAATACAAAATACTGTCTTTTATCCTATCCTCCCACTCAATGTATTGAATGTAGAGATTCTCAGTCGGTTCTCGGATAAACCTAACGGAACCCTTAAGACGCCATAAAATAGTCGCCTACGATGGTCTTAGTCTACAAATAAATTAGGTGATAACAACAAACTCTAGTGATAACGAATTTAGAGCTTCTGTTACAAATATAAATTGTAAGAAAAGAAAACCAGGAAGTGTGTGATGGGGTGAGATGGGGATAGAACTATTCTTGATCTACAGACCGGTAAAGTTCATGAAAGTTCCTTAATAATTCATGGTTCTTTTACTAATTTCTATTTCTCTGAAATGTATTAACCTATTTCTACAATTGGCTTTAACAATCGATGTGTGCGCGTGTGTGTGGAGGGGGAGGGGCTCTCGTGGACACTATAAAAAAAAACTCCGTACGAGAAAGGACAACTCCTGAAGTGGTAAAAGTGGGAATGCCTGGATCTACAACTGGTTTCCATTAAATAACATTGAGTAACCAAGGGCAGATATATATATTTTTATAATTCTATTGTTTTTTTCAAAGCATTTTTAAGACATCACAATACAAAGAAATCAATTACCTTACGCACTGGCACACCGTTTCACATCATCATCATCGTCGTCATTGATCATCATCATCATCATCATCGTCATCATCATCATCATCATCATCATCATCATACAATGACACATCCTTACATTCCGTAACGTAGACAAACTAACACGTACACATGCTCACACACCTACACTCACACACCTACACACACTGACCTACAGTCACACACACCTACACACACACACACACACACATACTCACACACCTACACTTACACACACCTACACTCCCACACACCTACACACACCTACAGTCACACACACCTACACACACACACCTACAGTCACACCTACACACACACACACACACACACCAACACTCACACACCTACACTTAATCCTACACTCACACACACCTACACACTCCCACGTACACTTACACACATCTACACTCACACACACCTATACTCACACACACACCTAAACTCACGCACACCTACACATAAAACACCTACACTCACACACCTTCACTCACACACCTACACTCACACACCTACACTTACACACACCTACACTCACACACACATACTCTCACACACACACATACACACACTCACACCTAGTCACACACACCTACACTTACACACACATATACACTCACACCTACACTCACACACACCCATACACACACCGACACTCACACACATGCACTCACACTTACACTTACACATATACTCACACACACCTACACTTACACCTGCACATGCATGCATAGGCAGATATTTTATTTAAATATTTGTTCAATCTAACAAATTGGATTACGCACAAGTTACGCAACTAAGAAACGATTTCTCCATTCCTTCTGTTTGAAATATTTATCATTGGAATCATAATTATATCTAACCATTCAGTGATACGTTAGGTAATTTATAGATTCTGTTCAGGTTAACGTTGAAGAGAAAATCACATGAAGGGGATATTGTGAGGTTTTAAATTAGTTTATAGATTACATATATGTACATGGAGATAAATGTAAGATCGACAGAATACGTCGTATTTGGAAAAAACGACAAGCTGTAGGAAAATGAATGACTCTTTAATGCAAGATATTTTGTTTAAGGAAGATAATTGGACACAATTCACATATGATTGTCTTCATATACATATCTACACAGTGACGTCATCGATATGTATCATATACATACATTATATTGCCGCAAAGACAAAAGGAGCGCAATTATATTAATAATATATGTATATTCTTATTCCATTACAGCGAAAATCCCACACCTGCAGTTGGTTTAGAGATCTCACCAATCAGAAACTGGTAAATTCCTGTGAGAGAGGCTATCATGAAAAATCGATAACCTAGAATAATAATTAATTGCAATATAGGCATCTTAAATAAGGTCTCGTGAGATCTAATTTTTCTCATGTTGACAAATTTTCGTATTCATTTTTAAAAAATCAACAATTGTATAATAATATATATGTACATGTTAGCATACCTGAGACTTACTAGCTACAGATGTCTGCCACATCATCCGACCATAATCTATCGGGTACACACACTCCTAAATTATTCATCTGTCACGTACATGCTTATTAAATCCTAACAAAACGCAATTTGCATATCATATACATCTCGTGTTGCTACTTTCGTACAGGTTAGCATCTGACCTCACGTGATTTTTTATTCACACTGATTATCATATTACCCCCTTTTTTAGGATCGCTGTGTGGTTTACTGGCCTTAAAGATTTTTCATGTGTGGACTGGCCGTTACGAATAACAATAAATAAATGATAATAATAATACTCCATTGTTTTTACAGAAAAATGTGCGTTGACCTCCTCTAATCTTACATGTGTTAAATCTAAACATAGTTTTCTCAAATCTATATGCAGAATATCTTTCATGTGTGGACTGGCCGTTACGAATAATGATAAATAAATGATAATAATAATACTCCATTGTTTTTACAGAAAAATGTGCGTTGACCTCCTCTAATCTTACATGTGTTAAATCTAAATATAGTTTTCTCAAATCTATATGCAGAATATCTTTCATGTGTGGACTGGCCGTTACGAATAATGATAAATAAATGATAATAATAATACTCCATTGTTTTTACAGAAAAATGTGCTTTGGCCTCCTCTAATCTTACATGTGTTAAATCTAAATATAGTTTTCTCAAATCTATATGCAGAATATATGATTAATAATTATGCAATTTAATTCATGGCTGTATTGAACTCTCAAAAGATGTTCTTCACTTGTGCTTCTCTTGTCTTTGACGCGTTACTGGTGGTGATTTAGAAAAGTCACGTATAATATAACAAAAAAATGCTAACAACCTCAATATTTTGTGACATCACAATGATATCTGTTCCGATTCTAGGCCAGGCAGACTATTCTAGGTCAGGCAGATTATTCTAGGCCAGGCAGACTATTCTAGGTTAGGGAGGTGATATCATGTTTAGGCAGCTCATGTTAAACGCTCGGTAGCGCTGATCTTGCTAAATTCAAATAAAATAAATATTTACAACATTAAATTCAAATACAACACCAACCAAAACTAATTTATAATACAATATAATGATAATTAAATTTTACTGAGACTCGTGTTTACACAAATATTTAAATAATAAACCAGTCCCTCACTCCCATTTTTTCAGATAACAAATGTCTACATACACACCATTGTCTCAGTGTATTTACATACACACCACCATTGTCTCAGTGTATTTACATACACACCACCATTGTCTCAGTGTATTTACATACACACCATTGTCTCAGTGTATTTACATACACACCATTGTCTCAGTGTATTTACACACACACCATTGTCTCAGTGTATTTACATACACACCATTGTCTCAGTGTATTTACATACACACCATTGTCTTAATGTGTTTACACACACATCATTGTCTCAGTGTATTTACATACACACCATTGTCTCAGTGTATTTACATACACACCACCATTGTCTCAGTGTATTTTCTCATACAAACCATTGTCTCAGTGTATTTACATACACACCACCATTGTCTCAGTGTATTTACATACACACCATTGTCTCAGTGTATTTACATACACACCATTGTCTCAGTGTATTTACATACACACCATTGTCTTAATGTGTTTACATACACACCATTGTCTCAGTGTATTTACATACACACCATTGTCTCAATGTATGTACACACACACACCATTGTCTCAGTGTATTTACATACACACCACCATTGCCTCAGTGTATTTTCATACAAACCATTGTCTCAGTGTATTTACATACACACCACCATTGTCTCAGTGTATTTACATACACACCATTGTCTCAGTGTATTTACATACACACCATTGTCTTAATGTGTTTACACACACATCATTGTCTCAGTGTATTTACATACACACCATTGTCTTAATGTGTTTACACACACATCATTGTCTCAGTGTATTTACATACACACCATTGTCTCAATGTATGTACACACACACACCATTGTCTCAGTGTATTTACATACACACCACCATTGTCTCAGTGTGTTTACACACACATCATTGTCTCAATGTATGTACACACACACACCATTGTCTCAGTGTATTTACATACACACCACCATTGTCTCAGTGTGTTTACACACACATCATTGTCTCAGTGTATTTACATACACACCATTGTCTTAATGTATTTACACACACACACCATTGTCTCAGTGTATTTACATACACACCACCATTGTCTCAGTGTATTTACATACACACCACCATTGTCTCAGTGTATTTACATACACACCATTGTCTCAGTGTATTTACATACACACCATTGTCTTAATGTGTATTTACATACACACCATTGTCTTAATGTGTTTACACACACATCATTGTCTCAGTGTATTTACATACACACCATTGTC